ACATCTCATGCTATCACGAGCACGAGCCTCTCGTCCATGAGTAGATGCACACTTCCTTCTGCACAGTGACACAGTTGGCAGGTGTAGTTCGGTAGACAGAAAATTCTTGCGTGAAACTGCTCACAACAAGGTCTGTGGATTATTTTGAGCAACTGGGTCATGATTTCTGGAAAAATTGTATGCTGCTGCTTGCTCATAGAACATGTGATGATGGGGTGTACATTCAAACACGCATGATCCAGGGAGCCGTTTCAACATTTTATTGCAGAAAGGGTAGTTGAACACTTGAATAGTGGCTGAGGGATGATCTTTACCAAAACAAGGGATATTATATTATATTGATGGGTGAAGTATTATAATCTTGGGGGAGTGGTCTTATCAGGAGTGCAGGTGATGGAGGTGGGGTGGAGAATTGTGATTAATCAGAGACATTGCTGTTGAGTTTTTCCACACGTATGTTTTTGGTGCTTTGAGCACCACAAGCTAAGTGCCATCCAAATCTATTATATTCAGGAGAAGGCAGACATCTCTATGGCTGATATCTCCAACACTTGGTAACTGGCACCAAAAAAATCTAGAGTGGAGTTACTGTGAGTTGTATTTTCTCCTGTCACCTTCAGCCCCGAACTAGCTGACTAGCTGACACTTTTGACTGCAGTCTGATATCAGTCCTTCATTTACACTTCCAGTAAGTCAGCAAACAAGCTGACCCTCAAATTGTTGAGGCAGTGGAGCAAATAATTGTGCAACTGTAAATTGTATCACTTACTCATTACTGAAAATATTAATCTCATTATTGTTGTTGCTAACTAATGGGTTACTATGGTAACTGTTATCATGGTTGTGTCTGGCAGTAAAGATGGTAGAACAACTGGGAATGGTGTTTAATGAAATATTGATATGGTAATGTGTGCTGCGTAGTGTGTTTGTGTGGTTAGCCTATATGAGCTCCCTGTGTGTGTTGTGTACAGCGTACTCTATTCATTTTTAATTCCTCTTCATTGCATTGACCTGAAATATTTGGCTGCTTTGCAACAATGTGTCCTTTGTGCATTTACCGAAATAATGTTTGCTCTGCTTTGCTTGGTGTGTAACATAAATATGCTGTGTTGATGCTGTTACTGTGGACAGTCGGGCACATATGTTGTCTCTACTCACTGTGCTGTTTCTGTTTTTACTATTTCTGAGCTGCTGTGACATTTACAGGAAATATCTTGCTTTTTTTTTTCATGTCCGTTCTGCCAACACCTACAGTATACTGCAATTACTGCACATAACAAGATTGTTTGCTGAGAAATGGAGCATGACTCACCAAGAAATTTATTTAAAAAGGTTGCCTTGGTGAGAGATTGCAGTGTTTACCAAACAAAACATATGCACAGGATTTCACGTTTGTTTGCAGGGTGGATGAACAGGGTCATGTAGGGTGCTGATTTCAGGGCTTAGATGCTGTGTGCCTGGTATTTATATGCGGCGTGTATACTATTCGTACAAAGTCATTGCATGGCTGCTCTGCCTCAAAAGGAATATGTTCTTTTTATCCAACATAAAGGAGAAACAGTTGGTTTTAAGAGTTGCAGCAGCTCACTCCGAGAAAAGAAAAACTGGAAAAATAAAGGCACAACCTCAGATCTCATTTCATTAGGCGGAGATCAGTTGGAAGTAAATAATATTTATTGAGGTTGGCAACTAAGACAGACTTTGACGATGAGGCTCCAGTGACTTGAAGCATCTTCATTAAACATTGAAGAGAGGACAGGAAGTCTAGACGCTGCTGGTGGTGGAGTGAAGCCAGCAGGTGGAAAATGGAAACTCCGTTAAATCTCCCCAACATCCTGACAATCATGGTGGTGATGGTGGAGGTGTCAGCTGAAGTGACAGAGAAAATAAGACCGAAAACAGCAGACATACTCCCAAAGCAAAAAGATTTCCAGGCTCCAGTTTACTTGAAATGTTAATTGCTCTTTTGTTGTAAATGCTGAGCTGAGTGTGGGACTGAACATACTGCACATCTGGGGTTCAAGGCCTTCAGTGTGACAAACTGCCCGTCCAGGCACAAGTGCTGGTGTGTCCGATCATTCAAATGCACAGTCAGCTGCTGTCAATCATTCACCCTGTGGTGGGAATCAGCTGTAAATGTCTGCACAAAGAATCAGCAAACAAAGCTAATGACTCCAGCTAATGTCCTTAGCTTGCACGGTGAGAATGACCAGAACATACCAACCACTGCTGATGTGGCAACTGTTTGACCAAGGAGAAAATAACAGGGATGTCAGGCGCGTCTCTGCCTAATTCTTAATCAATTTCAACTCCAAGTAAACTAGAAAGACGTGAGACGTTGTTAGCAGAAAACATGAAGCATGTTGAGCACATTAAAAAGTGTGTAAAATGCTTCACAGTCAACAAACACAGTCAGGACAGCTGTCTCCTGCAGTTTAACGTGTATCTGGGACAAAGCAGCCATGATAAGACTTGTTACTGAGGGTGAATACGTAAAAGAAGTGATCAGTTGCTATGGAGACATGCATTGGATTTATGGCATACTTACATTAGTGTTGATTGGTGGTTTTACATGTTTTACTGACCTTATGTGGCTAAAGAGAAATCTGTGGCTGTGTGTGTGTGTTGATGTTTATGTTCATGTGTGTCTGCGGTGGTGGGTAAATCACAACAAGGGCAAATAAACAATTTCCTGCTGAATCAATCAGTCCTGCTTAACTGAGCACAGAATCCACCTCCATCAGCAGGTTGTAGAGCAGTTATAGAACACACAAACACACACACACACACACACATTGAAGACATGAGGTGATCTGTGTTGCATATAAAATGGCAAAATGGAAGTCTAAGGAATATTGAACATTTGGTCAATAGGTTAGGAAGGTGAGAATGGAAAGCGTATTTAGACACACATGCTTATACATAAAGATTTTATGTGTGTGTGAGACGATAACCATGATATCAAAAGTAAGATATTAATAATTGTAATAATAACACACATGATAATATTGTGTAAATACTGCAGCACCTGTTAAAGGTCCAGTGTGTAAGATTTAGAAGGATTTAGTGGCATCTAGTGGTAAGGATTGCAGATTGCAACCAAGCGGTAACCTTGAGGCTGAGAAAAAAACTGCTGTTCACTGAGTGTCCACTAGAGGCTGACTCCAAAAAAAGAGTTAAAATGCCCAACTTGACAGCAGAAATAAACATGTTTACAGCCTGTTAAAAACAGTTTTGGTCTCTATAGCTAATCTCCCCCTTCATATTAACTATACAGGGGGTGAATTTTTTCAATAACTCACCTGTTTACATTATATTGCGGCCCAAAGGTCTGCATAGTTAAGGGTGGGGCCACTTGAGTGAGGCGTTGTTCAATCTGTTAGTCAGATCCACCCCTCACTCGTCACCATCTAATCTCCACCCTCTCATCTAAATAAGGTCACTTAGCATGAGTATGGACTGAACTTGGTTAAAAAATATGAAAGTGGGAAATAGAATATGTTAACACTGATAAAGATGTATATGTGTATACATAGATATGTGCACAATCTTGAGAGACATGAACTTTATCATCCCATCCTATGAGTTTATTTTGGATTTTGTTTTGTAGTTTTATCACTGTTTTTTCCCCTTGTTTATGGGTAGTGTGTTATGGGTCTTGTTTGTTTGTCTTTGTTTTGTGTGTGTGTTTTATTTAATATGCCACAAATATGAAGGGGGAATGGACTTGAAACTAAATGTTGTGGCTATTGTGTGTAAAATCAATAAAAAAAAAAATACAATAAAAAAAAATAGATGGTCACTTCTGGCGCCAAAAAACTAAGATGGCAATGGCCAAAATGCCGAACTCGAGGCTTCAAAACACAAACCAATGGATAAAGTCACTGTAGCTACATCCTTTATTATACACAGTCTATGATTGCAACCAGCTGAAACTTCTCCCGGTTAGAATTCCCTCAGTGTTAATTGTTCCGGAGGTTTTTACTGGGAGCCAATTATCTGCAGAGGTCTCCTCTTCTCCAAAAGAAATGGTCCCAGTGATTTAAAACGCTAAAAACACTGAACAAAGCAGTTTCACGTTACAAATCAGTGTTTCTGCGATGTGTTTGGCATGTCAGAGATGGGTCGCTAGCCAAGCATTCAGAAATATAAGATGTTTTTACCAAAACAAAATGTCAAAACAAGTAATAAAGAAGTTTCACGTTAAAGAATCTTTTGGGATTCTCTCATCGTGGAGGAGCTGCTAACTACGGTGGCCAAGGCGAAAACACAAATGGCCCTATCCAGAGCCAGTGTTTGGTTTGTCCGTTCTGGGCTACTGTAGGAACATGGTGGTTGTGATATCCATGGATGAGGACTCACTCCCTATGGAGATATAAAAGATTCATTTTAAGGTAACAAAAACATTACGGTTCTCATTCCCAGGTGATTATACTCATTATACACTCTAGATTGATAGTGTTATTTTCTTGTTTTTCAAATTTTCTAGAGATAGATATTGCTCCAGCCCGAGTGTGTGCACATGCATAGTCGCACCTTACACAGATGTGAAAGTGTTTTTTTTGTGCTCAGCTACATACACTTTACAATGCCAGTGTGTGTCCGTATGTGATGAGTAGACATTGACCGAGGAGCAGGTGGTAAATGCAGAGTAAATATTGATCTCTCTGTGACTGCTCGGTGTTTATGAACAGCATATGGACTTTATTTACTGGCATGTTTGCAGGCTGACTCTGGAATATGACCGCAGGAGATATTGTTGCCAAGAGACATAAAAGTTGCTGACATATTTCTTTCCATTAACATGTTTTACTGTGATACAAAAACACGTGCATCATGGAAATATCACCCAAGAGAGGACTGTTTACTGTGATTATAGTGCAGTGATGCAGCTGGGAGTGGGATTTATCTTAGATGAAAGCAGCAGCTGCTGAGTGATCATAAAATAACACCCTAGATTTTAAGTTTTAATATGCTTTGTGTGTTTTATGTGTTTACAGAGAGACACCAAAGGCCAGTTCCTGTTGGACCATGTGTGTAACCACTACAACCTGCTTGAGAAAGACTACTTTGGTATTCGATATGTGGACCCAGAGAAACAGAGGGTAACTATCAAACACACATCATGCAGGACGACCAAACGTAGTGGGGATGCAACTTACAAGTATTGTCACTATCCGTCAGTCATTTTAATGACAAGAAAAACAGCAAATCTTCGCATTTAAGAAGCTGGAATCAGCAATTGTTTGGTTGATGTAACAGTAAATCGACATATTGTTCCACTCCAGTGATTTTATCTCGAGGCAAGATAAGGTTGTAAAATTTTATATATTCAAGCATTTCTCAAGAAACTAAAAACTACAGCAGCACTGAGTCAGCACGGCTAAAAAGGGATTGTTGGGTATGAATCAGGAGGCAGTCAGTGCATTGTATTACAAGTTCAAGTGACAAATAATAACAAGATCAGACTCCATATTTCAAACAGCCCACACACAGAGGAGACTAGACGCTTTGTCTCAACAGAAGCTCAGGCGGCCTCGAGCTGCATTTAAAATGCAGAATGAGAAAAATACAAACAAGCAAATATCAGCAAGAGGTGTTACGACACAAAAGCTGCTAGTATAATAGAGTGCAGTAAAGAAAACCCACAATAGAATAAAGGCATCAGTGAAGTTGTTGGATGGATTTGGGTAAAATGTCCTGACATACAAAAGGACTTCATATTTTCAATTTGCGTTTAAATTTGAGGGAGAAATTTTGAGAAAGTGGTGTACACTCAGGAGTATAGGAAGGTCTCCTCTTCTTCCTTCACCAAGAGGCCCTTGATCGAGGCCCTTATAAGAATACGTCACCCACAAAGTGATCATTTATGTATCTGTCACTCATCCTGTGTTACATGATGAAGAAAACTTTGTTATCTCACAGGCCTCCACGTTCAACAGAAAAATTTCAAAACAGAGAAAATTATTGATTACATGGAGAAAACAGTTTTCAATCAATCAATTTTATTTATAAAGCCCAATATCACAAATCACAATTTGCCTCACAGGGCTTTACAGCATACGACATCCCTCTGTCCTTTGGACCCTCGCAGTGGATAAGGAAAAACTCCCCAAAAAAAACCCTTTAACGGGGAAAAAAAAACGGTAGAAACCTCAGGAAGAGCAACTGAGGAGGGATCCCTCTTCCAGGACGGACAGACGTGCAATAGATGTCGTACAGAACAGATCAGCATAATAAATTAACAGTAATCCGTATGACACAATGAGACAGAGAGAGAGAGAGAGAGATGCAGGTAATGACAGTAGCTTATGTTTTACGCACAGACTGGTGAGAAGCATGTGTTTGAACAAGAGTTCAAACATGCGCTCCCCTAGTCATGTTACTCGTATGTAGAAGTATTGGAAATAGCGAGGTTTTAGTGAGATAGCGACTGGATAAATGAGACTTGGATTATACTGCATGAGTTGTGTGAGAGTTGATGTTTTGATTTAGTTTTGCTGTTGTTAAGCGTGGTCCATTACGACTTCATGTCATCAGCAATTTTTGAGAAAAACTATGTTAGTGTTCTATTAGTCTCTACATAAAGGCAAACCCCGGAGATCTTGCCTCTGGAAGAAGAGCGGAAGAGCCCTGGTTTCCGGTTGTAGGCTGTTTGTAGTCCGTGTGATATTGACCAATCACGTTTGAGCTGGCTGCAGTTGTTGCCAGGTTAAACGGCCTGTGCGGTGAACTAACGAGGCGGAACATAATTGGCGTCACTGCAAACTCTGAATCCATCGCAGTGGTTCAGCATATTTACTTACATATAAACGGAGGTCGGAAACGGAAATTCGCCTCCTCCGCCCAAATCAAACCGGAATGCCAAAAAATCGAGGGTCTGCCCCCAGAGGCTGTATCGCCGTCTGCCGGAAGTCAGATGCCAAATACAGCCGATGGGTTCCGAGAATGGTGATCTATATACAATTGATCATTTGAGGAGTGAAGTATTCCTTTAACCACTAAGTAACTGTTCCAGTGGCACTGCTCAGTGGCCAACAGGTCAGACTGTTGTACTGGGAAACTTCCAGAGGTAGCTTCAGGGTTAACTCTGGGTTTTCAGTACTACGAGGCTGGTTGTCTTTTTACTGGGATAAATCACCATAATAACTACTGTAATGCTGAACAGTTAACCTGCTCCGGAGCAGGTTAACTTGAGAGTATCGGATCACAGCCTGTCAACACCCCAACCTCTGACCAATCAGATCACTGAAGAAAAAAGTATCCATCAACGAAAGTCCGGAGTGACAGTATATATACTGTTATAGGGTTAGTAGAATGATTTTATTGTTTCAGAGCTCTATTTCCACTGGTTTTAAAACAGAGCTTCTAACAAACCGAGAGATTGTTTATAACACTACATGACTTTAACTTATGCAAAGTTTATTTCGGTCTGCAGTGATAGTACTGCTACTTTTACATGCTAATTCCTTCACAACAGCTCAAAAAATGATATGAGACACCTACATGATGAGAACTAGGAAAAAATCTAATATTTTATTAGTAAAATGATTCACACACGTTAGCATAAATGCCACATTTGGGTCAAATTGACGTCATCAGTCATTAATTAGGCTACTTTCCACCTGATGCTTAAGTAGTAGAAAAAGTTTGGCATTACTTTAAAGTATTTTATGTGATATATTCATCATCATCATTTAACTAAATAGCAAAAAATATTCTATACTAATGTCATACTAAAGTAGGTGTAATACTAGTAACACCTGCAGGTAATTTAAGTCTTGGCCAACAATGAATTTTTGGAAAGTATTTTCAATGTTTCTACATTTTAAGTTATAAGATCAGAGAGTATTGTTTTCATCCCACACCAGACATTTTACTGTCTATGAAGCAGCCTACCTTATTCACGGTTCTGATGATGTCGCTCGTAAACAACACCCCTGCCTCTCTCACATGAACGCGCTCATGGCTGGATAGGAAAACCCAGGGCTGACTTAACTAGTTGATAACCAGCTTTGTAGTACCGGTTAGCCAGACGGCCAATGTTGAGGTTGATCAAACCAGATAACGAGAAGAAATGCTGGCGTTGCAAAAAAAATACAGTATTGCTTCCTTGACTATGTTATGGTCCAAAGACTTAACTTTTTTTTTTTATTCACACATATGTTGCTCAATTAATGTTGCATAATTAAGGATGTTGTATGTGTTATGTATTATAAGCGCGTATGTCAAGTCCATTCAGCAGGGTCAGAAGAGTCAGCCCTCCATACAGTATGTTGGTCTTTTATGGACAATCTACAAAACAAACAAACAAAAAAAGAACATTGAATGAATCATTAAAATAAATGTCATTTTCTGATGCAATTTTAAATTTGTTTTCAATGCACTGAAGTTGCCTCAATTTGCTGAGTTTAAGTAAAGTGTCATTCAATTATTCATCAAAAACGTCAAGAGGTTTTTGATTTTAAATTAAAATAGTGTCCTTATTTTAGGGTAACATTGGTCCTTTCTCTCTCCCTCTCTCTGTCAGCACTGGCTGGAGCCCAATAAGCCCGTGGTGAGGCAGATGAAGTGTAAGTGTCACTTCTGCTCCCTTTGTGTTTTTCTGTGTTTTGCATTAGTGTGTATGTACACAACAACGAGCTGTGTGTTTGTGTCTGTGTGTGTGTGTGTGTGTGTGTGTGTGTGTAATGATGCCTCCCTTCCCTGAGAGCTGCTTCAGTGTGAGGAGGTCAGGCTCTGCAACAAACAGACAACACCACAGGGACTCTGACACATTCAGGGTCATGACATACAGCAGTGTAAAAGTCACTGGATATTCAAACAAATTAAAACAAAAATATGATATCAGCGTGTAGTCTACTCCATGTAACATTCATTATGTGTGATTACAAAAGTGTAAATACATTTGTTTTTCATAGTAAACACATAGCATTTGGGAAATGTAGTCATATATAAGTTTTAGGGCCGTATCACCCCCTTTATCCCCAGGACACATCGCTCACATTACCACTCGCCATGAGTAGTGACAGAGCCAGACAACACCACAGGAAGACAAACAGAGACCCAATAAAGACAGACAAAGTGACACAACAAACTGCTGGGGGGACAAGTGGCCTATAAAGGAAATAAACTAACAGACAAAGTGAAATAAACAGACATGGCAGAGGAGCGCAAGCCAGGAGACAAAGAATCAGCTGTCAGATAAATAAACCGGCTGCCTTCAGCTGATGTGCAGGTTAGCCAGTGATATGTGTCATGGATCTGGGTGCACTGAAGGGATGATGTTGTTTACATCTATGTAAATTAATTAACACTAAGCTGTCAGCCTGTGCCATAGACTGTATCAAAATAATGGACAATGCCACCGTGATGTCATCAATTGGTTTGTGGACTCCTGTTTTGAAACCTTGAATCTGGTATTTTGTCTGTCGCCATCTTGGATTTACAAGTGATGAATAGTTACCATATTTGGGTTAAGCTGACGCTGGTTGCTAGCTGGTTGAGACCAAAACTGTTTTTTGTACCAGACTGTAAACACATTTATTTCTGCTGTAAAGTCAAGCATTTTAACATGGGGGGTCTGTGGGGAATGACTCTCTTCTCGTGCCAGCCTCTAGTGGCCAGTAGAGGAACTGCAGTTTTTGGCATTTCCGCATTGGCTTCATTCTGCAGCTTCGGAGGTTGTCGCTTGGCTTATAGCAGCTATGTGACATAGAGTGTACTCACTGTTGTTGGCCATCACCAATGAGAGGATGCAGATTTATCTAGGCACCAGGAAATTTGACTCTTTTCCAGTGGCTTTAATTTAGGTAGGTGCTGTGAGCCAGGCTTGGTGTCCTCTCGGATCTCACTCACAGGTTGACATTTGAGTTTATTTTGGATTAGTATGCACATGCTGACAAAACCTAAACTAAAGTCTACTTTAGAATCAGAATAGACTCATTGTTTTTTGACTGTTATGGCAGTTTTCAGCTACTCTTATGTTTGATTTCCTTTCCATTGTAAGGTTTGGTTCTGACGCGACTCTTATTACATAAGACCCGCCTTTTTTATGTTCTGTAACCAATCAGAAAGAAAAAAGTTACCAATTGACTTTGACTAATGCTGGAATGTAATAAAATACATTTACTCAAGTGCCGTACTGAGCTATTTCCATTTTATGTGACTTCAAACTTCTACTCCACTAAATTCTGGAGGCAAATGATGAGCTTTTTACTGCACTATTTTTATATATTTATATAGGCCTAGGTAGCACCAGGTGGTGTAGTGGAGGGTATGTGCAGGTATAGGGGGTATTCCCACTTCTTTTTCTGGCCGTTTACAGTATACCCACCTGTCAGCCCAAAAAGCCATAAGAATATATAGCCTAGAGGAGTATACCCACTTCCTCCAAGGCAACCTACCCATTTACCTAGCAGTACACCCACCTCATCAGTAGCCACTAAGCTCAGTAATAACATGGTGATAGTGGGGTAATAGTTTGATAATAAGGAGGTAATAATTAAGTAATAACCAAATAATAGCTTGGTATTTACAATAGGTATGTCTGGGTAGCACTGGACTGAAATTTATGTAGCAAAGTTATAAGAGGCCCAAAAACAAATGAGGAAACATGTTTAGCAAGTCTAGTAATATTTTGGTACAAAATAGTTACTCTAACCATGTGCCCTCAAACAACAATGCTCGGTGAATTCAGAAATGGTTGTCCTAGCATTTTAAATACTATTTTATTATTCAGAAAAAGATTTTATTTTTTTTTATCAAGAGGAAAAGGGTAATTGACATTATTGCTTTCTTTCCTTTTTTTTCCCAAAACATTTCTTTATGTTAGAAGGCATTATTGCTATAAGGCAGGGGAAATTGAATGACAATAAAAGAAGATGGAATAGATTAAGGCCAAGTTTAGAAGAAGGATGATAATATATCAGAATTTAGTTGTTTGTGGCTGTTTGTTTTTGTTGTTGGTTTGATTTTTTGTGTGTCTGTGATTTTTTTCTTTCCTTCCTTTTACTAACATACGTCTATGTGAGTGGTTTATGATGAGCTGTAGTGTAGTTGTGTAATTTGTCTTTGTTTTGTTTAAATAAGTACTAAAAAAATAACAATATAATAACCTGCTGTCAACAAAACTGTTATGTCAGTGCAATATTTGGATAAGATATGGTAATATGGTGATATTAATGGGATAATAACCTTATAATAATGAGGTATAGGCTGATGTTTTGACATTATTATTGGCTACTATCAGTATAATATCTTCAAATCACATGAAGATTCTTGCAGTCAAAATTAGTAATATTGTAATGACAAATTCATCCTCCCTGATGTTCCAAACACTCCCTTTTGTTTGAAGGAAATACTGTATGACGTATATGTCCAGTGCACTTGTCAGTTAGAAACACTTGTGGTAGTGTCAGAATTGTCATCATGAATCAAGGCTGTAAAATTCTAAACCACCTGTTTTCATGGTGATATTAGATTAAACCAAACATCTAGAGGCATATTGGTGAAGATTCTCAGTCATCCAGGTCAAGTGCTATATTGTAGGCGACTGGACTTGCTTGAGTTTCTTGAGGATGTTTCACCTCTCATCTAAGAGGCCACTTCAGTTCAGAACTGAAGATCATCGAGAGGCATTGTAATTACCTAGAAACACTTGTGGTATTGCTATTTTTACTCAAGTAAAAGATCTTTACTAACACTTCTTCCACCGCTGACTGCGACACGACTAGTGAAATAGCTGATCAGTGTAGTTTTAAAAATGCAGTGTAAAATCACGTTGCAGTGAATTTTGAGACACACTTTATTTCGAGAAGCAAATGTTTTATTCCCTTCCTAGAAAGGAGTAGCTGAAGGTACAAGGGAGGACAAGACTGCCTTTGCTTCATAAAATATTTAAACAAATTTCGCTTTGTCAGCCACCTTTTTATACAGAAGTTTGGAAGACAAAATCAAAAAGCAGAGATTTTATTTGGAATCCAGTGCACCTTAATGTCCTCTCCCTCCTCTTTCACGTTTTATCATCTCTATATAGGCTTTAAAAATCGTCTTGGTTTTTCACTCTAATGGACTGATGCCAAATCCTGATGTTTGCTGCTGAAACTGATGCGTTGCTGCAGAATTTCTCTGTGAGATCTTCGTCTACATTTGGCCAGTTACCTCTGCAATCTGCAAAAACATGTCTCCGTCTGAACTTCGCCCACCCTTTAAATGAGTGTCCTGTTCTTTCTGTCTTGCTATAAATTAATAAAGTAGCCATTAGCGGTTCGTTCTGCTTCATCAGAACATGTGCGAGAGGGCAGGAAGGAGGGAGGATGAGGAGACCAGTGAAAATTAGAATGAGCGATTGAGATGGAGCAAGAGGGGGGAAGAGTGATAAAGAGGAAGTGTGTGGGGGGCTAATTCAGAAGGGAGAGAAGGGACAGTGATATATAATGTGGCTAAAGAAAGAAGTCAGATTAGGGAGGAAAAGAGAGAGAAAGGAGGAGATTTGAGAGACAGTTTGAGATGAGAGAGGCTGACAGAGAGTGAAAGAAAGAAAAGGAGATGAGAGAGAGGGACGGAGGATGAGTGGTGAAAAGACCCTGAGTCGTACTGACACATCAGTTCTCCCTGTGGCAGCATTTACGCTCAAATTAGGGTGTGTGGCTTGTGATTTATTTTCTCTTTGTGCGTCTCAGCTTACGTGCATATGCGTCACATTGTGTGTGTGTGCACAGTATTGTGCCAATTCCCTTTCCCCTGAAACAGTGTTTTTTTTTTTTTTTATTTAAAAAAAGCACCGTGGTCCCTTAAGCCTTAGCAGAAAGCAGCTCAAAATTGGGCGCGGGTGGGAGGATTGCATCTTTCATATTGCTCAGCATGTATTATGTAGATGTGTGCTGTTTTTCATAGCTAGATAATACCGCAGAGGATCCCAGCCATTAAAGACAGAGTGGTGAGGGCACTTAGTAAAGATTCCTGTTCCCGTGTTAGATGATACTCACTTTCCTCCTCTTCTGCTCCTCTGTCCTTTTCTTCTTCTCTTTCTCTTTGGCTGAGTTCATGGTTGATGCCCACTTTAAAATCATTGCCCATATCAAATGATTTTGCCTCTTCTTTTAGCATCCAATCCATCTAGATTCCTGCATTGGGGCCATGACACACCAAGCCAATGGTCGGCTGTCAGTCAGTGTTGAGCTATCAGTGATTATATTACACCCTATAGTTTTTACAGTGTGTCACGCACCATTGGCACTAGTCGGCACTTGTTGGCTTCTTTCTGGCCCATTCAGCATGTTGAATCAGCGTCTGCTGATGGCAGAGCCTGTCAGCGAGAGAAATCACTCTGACTGGCAGTTCAGTACAGCACACAAGAAGAGAAATGGAAGTGAGGAAAGTAAACAAATGGTGAAAGTCAAGAATGCATGAGACTGAAACAAACCTGTTATATTAGGATCAACATCTTGAATCCATCCTGTCAGTTTTCTGGTTTTCCTTGAATAATGAATACAGACCATAGATCTGTAATAATACCTCAATATAATACCTCAATACCGGATGCCAAGATGGCACCTATTCAGTGCTATGAAATTGCAGCATGGTGCATATGCCAAAATAAGTTTATCGCTTCTGGGTTTACTTCTGCAATATGTGGCCCACTGAATATGCAAAATAGTTTCTCCTGCTGACCCCACCCGCGAGTTCCTGCTTGTCTTATAGACTTTACATTGTGTTTGCAGTCTGAGGTGTTCTGTCAACAGTTTTACAGATATCTCTTTTATAATGTTGTTCTATAGAGAAAATGCCTTTTAGACCACAGGGGATTTTTTTGCTGCAATACTGCGAGTAGCCTCTGGGAAAAATTGAGAGCAAGGCTGAGTGGCGTTCCAGGGGTCCTGATACAGACTGCTGCCGCTTGCTGGTGTGGCAGTGTTATTTCTTCTCCTGCAGGCACAGAACGTATGTGCTAGTTGGTCATTGCTGTAGTCTTTGCAGTGTGTTTTGCAGCGGCAATGAGGGGTTACTCAAAAGTAGGCCTTCATTGTCACTAGTTCTTTGATGTCAGTTTGGTGTATCTGGGCCTTTACACTCAAAATAACCCCTGTGCACATAAGTAAATGTCAGACATAAGTTAATACAAACAAGTCCCTCTTTATTCTTATTCCAAGCTTTGTACCCCTTTTTTTCCAAGCCTCCTACCCCAAAATTACATTGCTGTACCCCAGCATTGGTGAGTACCGCCTGTCATTTTAGAATCACATTTTATATATGTTCTTCAGCAACGCCTCCATCTGAGTTTCTGAGGGATTTTCCCAAAGACCCATCTGTTATCCTGCTTTACTGTTTTGGTTGCATATTGTAACTGTGAAATACATAATGCCATAAAGACGTCAGCAGACTGTCAATGTTGTTAACGCCATTTTGTTGCCAAACTTGTTCAACCCAGTCTCACTCCCAGCTTGTCAAATACAGACACTTGGTCAGTGGCCCTTGGTGTCAGATACCGACGCATAGAGGCATCCTTTAATGGTGGTATAAGATACACTGGACAGCAGCATTTCTTGATGCCCCAAGCAGCTGCCATTGTATGAAGTGGGAGAAAGTCTAAATAGGATGGTGGGATTGGACATGGCTAGGTCAAACAACTGCGAACTTTCACCTGGGAGCCTGCTGTTTGTTTTCCATGTGAAACCAAAGGTTAATAGCGTTATTTTGATAACAATGTAGCGTGCTAGTATGCGTAGCATACTATACTAGTAACATTTGTCACATGACGTATGTAACGTATGTCATCTGACGTTATATTACATTGGTAACAAACGTAGTTACTTTAAGCCAAACCATGATGTTTTTTATAAACCAAACTAAAAAATACTGGGTTATACTAAAAAGTACACCTAAAAACAACGAATTTTACCAAAGTTCAAAGTTTCTTGTGAAAATGGAAGTTTATTTAAAAAAGACATAAGACATTTAACAAGCATAAATGAACACGCCCGTTCCTGAATAACAAAACCCGACATTGGTGAGGTAGCTAGAGTGTCATAGTTTGACGTGTAGGGCCACTGACCAAGCGTCAGTCTTTGACAAGTTGGGAGTCAGAATGTGTTGTTTTGTTTCCCAGTACTGTGCCTCTCTCCTGTCCCATAAAATGCCCAATTGTTGCTCCCTTTGTCACCCATGCTCTTGTTTTCCTCCAATGTACCTACATATAAGTACCTGTTAAAGCCAGTAAGCATTTTATGGTTAGGATACCCGATTCATACAACAAAACCACCCTGTAAATTGCTTATCACATTGACAGTCATTAGTAGAATCAGAAACATCTATTTCAGTCAAGTAGCCAGTGTGTGTACATATAAAGAATTTGACTCTTTTTTGGCATTGCTCTTATGTACTAACACAAAAAAAGACATAACAGCTAAGAACTAGGACAACAATGCTGGACAAATAAAGGCTAAGGATATATAGGTCTATTATTTACACTAAAAAAGCACCTGTTTGTATTAAATTGTATATAAAATAATAATAATAATAATAATAAAAGAAAATTAATGGATTTACATGGACTGGATGATTATGTACAACATAATAACATGTCTAAATACTATAGCACGAAGTATTTGTTTTATTTATTAGGAAACAGAATGCAAACTGTGGTCTTCCATGAATATCAGACATTTGAAAGAACATAAAAATACCGTAAAACTTTAATAGGTAGCCCGGGCTGTTATTTGCTTAAATCACTGAACTTAACAGGCTTATTTTTGGGACAGGCTTTCAATTCCTTTTGCACAAAACTGCTGCTCAGCAAAGATGGGAAATACAATCAAATTGTTTATTTGAACCAGTACGATTATTACTTTTATAAAGTTTAGGCTTTGAATAACATATCAATTAGTTGTTATTTTATGACACTTGTGTCATGGCAGCTGGCATGCTGACACAGCACCACCTTACCCTGTGAAAACAACATTCATAACTTGAATTAACATTTATAAAACCCCCTTTTTTTAAGTTTAAACATTTATATTTATATGCACCATCTAAACAGCTAACTAATGTTAGCTCAAGTGGGTAGTTAACAATCTGATTTTATACATCCAAAGAACTTCTGTAAAAATTAACTACTTGGCAACCAGACCAGGCTTCTAATTGAGACAGGCCTTTGTTTGTCAAAATGTTTAGCTACACCGGACTAGTAAAAGAGACTGGTGTTTAATTGGGACTAGGCTTTTACTTGAAGTTTTACAGTAAAATACAATCAGACCATGACAACTTTCACCGGGAAGTGTAAATTCAGTCTCTCTATACACAGCATATATCACATTAACTATTGTATTTTACAGTAAAATACAATCAGACCTTGACAACTTTCACCAGGAAGTGTAAATTCAGTCTCTCTATACACAGCATATCATCACATAAACTATACAACAGAACTTGTACATGAAGCATGGTTTCTATACTTCTCATCTAATCTGTGAATGCATAATGGGTTGGCTTACAACAACTGCTACTGATGTTTTCTCACTGCACACTGTGTAATGATATGTATGTCTGCACGCCATGCAAATGTGCAAACTTCAGTGAGTCAACTTTGAATGTTAGCATGTGTGTGCATGAATGTGTGTTTATATGCAATTTGGTGAGATCAGCGGGACCCCAGGAGGGAGTTTAAGCTACTGCTGTCGTTTGATCCCAGCCCCACATCACTGACTGTGTGTGTGTGTGTCAGTGTGTGTGTGCACTTACATAAGTGTGTGTGTGTATGTATGTTACTGGGCATATTTAAATCTTATTCAGTGCTCAAATTTTCTCCCACAGCAACACACACACATAGTCAGAAATGAAATGCTTTCGGTCTCAGATCAAAGGAAAAGAAGCAGACCCCAGTCCAAGTCAGGCAGAGTGTGTGTGTGTGTGTGTGTGTGTGTGTGATGGGTAATTACTGTAATTATCAAATGACTAATCAGTATTAGAGGCATACCACAATTCTTTTTTGGGCTCCAACTCCTTCTTCTTCCCTCAGTTTTATATAATCCTCATTGCTCTGCTCCCCTTCTGTCCTGCACTCATTCATTTATCTCTCTTCTTCTTTTTCCTCTTCTCTCCCAATTAAAACATCTACTTTTACTTCTCTTCTCTCATTTCTCTCATCTTTCTCTTCTGCTCTCTCAAACTACTTTCTGTCTCCTCTTTCTTCTCCTTTCTTCTAAACTTTCTTCTCTTGTCTTCAGCAGCTCAGCAGCCGTACACCATGTGTTTCCGGGTCAAGTTTTATCCTCACGAGCCAATGAAAATCAAGGAGGAGCTCACCAGGTAAAAACTTACACACACAATGGATGATTTTTGAGGGATGGAGTAAGAAGGGAGGGACAGAGAAAGTGAGAAATAGAACAAGACATATCTCGCAACAACCTTATTACATTTAAACTGGAGTCAGCTGAATTCCAGTAACCTGATGGTAGTTTAAGAGAGTGGTTGATTATCTCAGGGACCTTTGGCTGGTTTGCTAACACTATCCGAAGCCTGCTAAAAGAACAAAAATAAAATATATGTCAAAAAACAGACTCAAGTACTCTTTTGAAACACAGCAGTTTGTAGGAATATCCAAGTTTTGCCACCACAGTTCTGATTGTAAGATTATCTTATCTATTTGCTTCTCCTTTTTTAGCCTTCAGAAAATATATTTGTTCTTCAAACACTGCAATTCAAAAGTTTGGAATCAGCTGTTATATTCATGGTTTTCTTCTTTCCCTCAGCAATAGCTATATATAGAGAGAGGGATAAAAACAGTTTGATTCTGATACCAATTGTATTATTTACATTTTAAACAGTTTTGGCCCCAAAAGAAGAACAATTAAATGAATAAAACTTTCACTCAATGAATGTCCCCACCTTCGATTTTGGATATCTTTTTCAAATCAGGAAAGCTTGTGTGACCTTCGATCATTATTGCACTACAATAGGTCCGTTTCCACTGAAGAAGTTCCTGGTACTATTTGGGGGGCAGGAACTACTACAGGAACACCCTCTCACTCGGCCCTCTCAACCGCTGTGTCTCCACTGAGAGAGCGGAGTAGGAGGAAGGTTCTTGTAAAGTTACGGGCTCTGGATGTGACGTAATCATTGCGCGACCATTTTGACCGGGGCGACGTAGGGGCGTAGGGACGCCGTTAGCCGTTAGCGGTGTCTGTAATAACTCCGGTCACGGGCCGTGGAAAAAATATTTTTTCCAGCGGATGTCTTAGTTACAACATGATTGAGCTAACTGGAGTAGTTTCATGTCGTATCCTACAACGGGAGGCTTTTAACAGATGACGTCCTGATGTTAGCTTTGCTGCTGCTGTTAGCTGTCCCTGTCAGCTGCAGCCACTGATGCTTTCTAGACATCATGATTTCCCAAAACTGAATTAATACCACACATAGCAACACAAAACTGCTTTGCTAGCTCAATCATGTTGTAACTAAGATATCCGCTGGAAAACAATTTTTTTTCACGGACCGTGACCAGAGTTATTACAGACACCGCTAACAGCTAATCTACGATAACCATGTTGTTATTTACAAAACGTCACATCCCGTCTTGAGTATATCCAATCAACACCAAATAATCCCCAAGCCCCAGCCAGGAGTTTCTTGGGGCCGTTCTGAGTACCTACCCCGAGGCAGGGACTTGTTTAGCCCCTGTAAAAGTTCCGGAACTCTGTCCTTCGGGGGTGGTTCCTGCGGTGGAGACATGCACCAACGGCCCCGGCCCCATAAAATTACCCCGAAGTTCCTACAGTGGAAACGGGCCTAATGGTGCAAATGGGCTCTAAATATTTTGGGAACCTGTTTTTCTTTGGGCCCTCTGCAGTTTCCTCAGTCAGCCCGGTCTCATGCCAAAGTCATCGACAGTCACCATTATAGTTTAATGGTGCTCGGCGGTGTCAGGGGGAAATGCGGCGGGACAAGAACAAAAGTTAAGGTGACAAACATATGAATAGGGTGGGAAGAAGGGGTGGTGGATGGTCCAACAAATAATGACTTCTACCTGGGAGAGCGGTGTTTGCGTCCCGTATGATTCTAAAGCCAAACCCTGTTCTTTATTCCTAAACCTAACCATGTGCTTTTGTTGTTGTAGGGGAAAAAACATCAATTTGAGGTGTTGTACTGACGTAGTGCCTTTATTTTGACAGAGACTGAATGTAAACGGTACATTCCCTGTAAAAATGGAAGTGTATTTTGAAACAAAACAATGCATGTAACAGGCAGAACTTGACATGGTGTCCCAGCATGTCAACAACCAACGCAGCCAGGGTACCTTTCACGTTGTGCTGGAAGTGAATGACCAAAACACTTAATCAGGAACCTGTTCCTATTTAAATCTGGACACATTTCAGTTTCTCTCCCATTGACTGGTGATTTTTTTCTACTCTTACTGAACTATTGCTCAGAGAGATCCTTGTCTCTTTCTGCCCTTTCATTTATCAGTCTGGCTGAACCATTGTACTGCGTTTTGTTCTCCCAGTACAAAACAAACCCTTCATACTAAATAGCATCTATTTGTAAAGACAATTTTCTACAACCCAAAAGCATCAAAAAGACCATTCAGAGTGCTCCTCTCAGCCATCCGACTGAACCCAATCAAGCTTTTGTGGCCAGCGATTTCAGACTCCTGAGCGGCGGTGTAGATTCACAAATACAGCAGTTTGACTTTGGTAACATGCTTTTACAATGATTTGATGTGAATATGCTCCAGAAAACTCACTCCAACAATGTAGTTGTCCAGTGTGTAATGAGCAGTACAGCTTAACATGGCTGCTGGCTATCACCAAATGTTGCTAATTAACGTATCTGGCAAGTCACAAACATGTTGACACTGAACGTATCAGCAAAATGTTTACTGACTGTTTTTTTTCTTGCTAAAATAAGAAATCTTGCAATACACTATCGTAGTGACTACAACTTTATTTTTGTAATATTACCTTTTTATCAACATTTAACTGAATTCATGTTTTAGTAACTCAAAGAAATATCTCTGAGCTTCATCCATGTTGTCACAACTATGTACCAGTAATATAAATGTAATTTCTAGGAGACAGCGTCGTAATTTATATAAAAAAAAACAACAGCACATTTCTGTTTAATGAAATTGTAGAATTAATATTCATAAAAACTTTTTAACAGCCCTCCTCCTCCCAAATATACACACTCACACACACCTTCACTCAGGCCTATAGTGATAATTAGCGATGCTCTCTCAGCGGGGACTCTGTTTTCGTGTTCTCCGTCCCATCTGAGCTGTCATGTCTCACCATCTCTCTCTTCCCTTCCTCCGAGCCTCCATCTTTCTCTCCTCCATCCTCTCCAGATCCCTCCATAATTTCATCCCTGAGGTATCTCCTCCCTCCCTTCTGTTGGTCTCTCTTTGTCCTCCTCCTTCCTCCTCCCCGTTATCACAGCCCACTCTGCTCCCTCAGGTGTGTCTCCACGTCTCTCAACTCATTTTGGCACATCTCCCCGTCCTCCTCAACTTTTATTACTTAAAGGTGTTTTTGCACATCGTCAATGTCATTAAAACTTTACTTTCATTTCATCTCTGTTCTCTCTGTTGCCCTCATCTTCATGCATTCAAACTTGTTTAAAGGACTGCATATTTATGTGTCTATTTATTTTCATTAGCTTGTGTCAAAGAAAAAAAACAACCTAATCTCAGAGTCCTTAAGGAGCACCATTACACCACATTGGTCTAAGTTTGGAGTGGACAGAGAAGTTAGATTGAGGCTGAGTTTTAGTTTTCAAGTTCAGAGGGAACTGCAGGCGGTGATGAAATCCAATGAAGTGCTCAATATCAAGTTTTTTTCTGGGAGGGATTTTTTTTTTTTCATCATCAAAATCCAAAAACTATTATGCTAATGTGTGTGTGTGTGTGCTGCATGTGCTCCAGTTTGCAGGATGTTATTTGAAGTCTGCCATTTGCATCCTCAGCTTTACCCCCGCCCTCAAATATCAAAAAAGAGATGAAAAAAAAATGACCCAGTATTCTTAGTAATCACATTCATATAAGGTGATTCTGCATCAAGGCTAAGGCAGAGAGAAGAGAGTATTTATGGGCAGAGTGACTGGGGAGGTTGAGGTGGTGGATAAGAAGAAGACAAAATTTAACTGGTCTTACACACCAACACATTCTCAATCCAACCTCATCACATATTTACATTTGGTCATGGACTTTCCACGTCCACATACACAGGAAGTTCACTGTTTGCATACTGTCTCTTTCACAATAAACACACAACATCAGTAAAACACAACAGTTTTTTTTCCTCAACAAGAAACGCAAGTGGTTGCGTTTAAGAAACAAAAGCATGTGGTTAGAATTTGGGGAAAAAAAAGAACGTGGTTTGGATTTATAATCTTACAGGACACAAACGCCGCTCTCTCAGGTGAAAGTCGGTGTTTGTTTTTGGACCCATCCACCACTTTCCCACTTGCCCCACTTGGACTTTCGCCACCTTAACTTTCGTTCTTGTACCGCTGTGTTTCCCCTTGACACGCCAGGCGCTGTTAAACTATAACGGTGAGGTTATAGCCTTGTATCATGCCGACGTTAAAGGACGGCTTTTTTCGCCGCAAGTCACTGCGCGAACTGCCAGATTTTGACAACTTCGGAGTGAGACCAGGTTGTACACAATGTTCTGTAAGTCCAGTGTGTAAGATGTATGGGGAATATATTGGCAGATATGGTATATGATATTCATAACTGTTTGCAATATTTTATAGTCACCTGTAAATAAGAATTGTTGTGTTTTTGTTACCTTAGCACGAGGTGTTCATATATCCACATATAGAATGGGTCCTCTTCCTCAGAGGCTACCATGTTGTTCTACAGTAGCCCAGAACTGACAAATTAAACAGTGGCTCTGCATAGGGCCATTCGCTTTTTTTTTGTTTTTGTGTGTTTGCATAGGCCATCATGGTTCTCATACGCATCTAACATGCGGGAGAAGTTTCAGTCCTACAACCTAATAATGTTTGCCTTTTTATCACTGTAACCATGACCACAATATTGCTCTAACATAAACCACATCCTCCTGAGACGCTGTGTCCTCATACGACTTAGGGGCTGTCCACACCAACGCGGGTATTTATAAAACCGTGACTCTTTTTGTATTTGTAACCAGAGTCCAGACTTTTTGGAAAAGTCCGGTGTCAGCAGTCATGTATTGACAGGATAACCGCAGTTTTGTCTCGTCTCCATTGTATGACGTCACAGTGTGCGATGTAAACAGAAAACAGCTGTTATTACCCGATCCAGTGTGTGCGAGAGACGATTTGGGAATGGACCTAAACAAAATACTGCTGCTATTTAGCAACATATCAGCACTTTGTGGCTGTATCATACAACTAACGCTACTCAGTGACATGATGACACAGTGATTCTCAAGGAGCTGCTGAGGAATCAGAATTTTCAACACTCTGGAGTTCAGAGATTGTTGTTTTTCGGTAATGACGTTTTACTGCCTTCTGATTGGCTACGATGGCCTTACAGTTAGGAGTTATATTGCCACCTACTGCTTTGGCTTGTGTATTACATTGCTTGATAGTGGAATATGCGGTGTCATGTGGACGGAGGTATTTTCATTACACCGCTCATATGGACGCAGATTTTTTAAAAACTGGAGGCCAAAAAAGTTTGGTTTTAAAAATACCCGTGCTCGTGTGGACCAGGCCTTATACTTCTTGACCTTGACCCTATACTTCATTCTACTTAACTTAGACCTGTTGTCCTCATTTGTGGATACTTCTTTTGTGCCATCTAGTGGTAGCAAAGTAATCCATGTAGAAACAAGATGGCAGCCATCTCTGCCAAGTCAGTCTGCAGCTGATCCCGACACAAAAGTGGACAAGACCAAAACCTGATCACATGTTATGGTTGAAACTTGTTTATTTATGTGTAATAATGTTTGTAGTTTGATATGGCAACAAATTTGACCACTTTAAGGGGCAGTAACAAGCTAAGACACTGTTAATTAGGAAGTACTCATTTGAGGACACTAGGACTTTATTGTTGTCTGATTTGAAGATATTGGGATGTAATTATTGTTGACAATGTTGTTTTTTATACTTATCAGGTTCTACTGATGCATACCAACCAAAAGTTCAGGTCTCAGGAGGATATACCATAGTTTCCCTTTGCAGATATTGTAAAAAGAGAATTTTAAAAAAAAAAAAAACGTCAGCAAAGAATGTGGCCCAAGGATAGAGAATCTATCAGATTTTATATTCTTGCTTCTTTGGCCAGATTTGAGCATCGCTCAGCTGTAAAAGTGCATAGATGTAACCTGCTCAGTGATCCCATAGTGTGCTGTCAAAGCACTGCTGACCTACACAAATGTAACTTCATGCAGTAAATGAGAATTGGAATAATAAAACCACAGAGTGGGAGAGGAAGAGATGGAAGAAAAGAGGGAGAAAAAAGCAAGGTGAGGGGGCAGAGAAGGGTAAAATTAGAGAAACTGACAAGATGGGAAAATTGGATTAAGACTTAGCATTTTGTAGTAATTATGACAGCTGTTTCTTTATGTACTGTATTAATTGATTAAACCAAAATCACAAAGGAGTTACAGATGAAGGACTTGCTGTTACTTAAAGAAAGATACTGTAACTTTAACTGCAAGATGGAAATAAGAGTTCAGGGAAGGAAACAGAAGATGAGATGACCAAGACAGGAAGAATCTCTGCATGCAACAAAGAAGAAAACAGACAAGGATTAAATTAAACACAATTGAGAAGGTCATGTAAATAAAGAAAGCTGTGTTTTTTAGGTCAATTTGAAGAACCTCCGTGCAGCTCCAGACCGACTTTATAAATAAAACTATTTAGTTTCAGCAGCAGGCTTTTCGCTCCATTCAATCTTTCATGCTTTCCTTCTGCTGCTTGAGCCAGAAAACAAGTTTAATGAGTCAGTTGACTGTGGTGTGAGCGGCTGATGTCGTCTCCTCTGGAAACTCATCTGTATCCATGGCAACACATGACCCTATAGTTTCAGCACCACTGTCATATCTTGTCTCCCTGCTAACACGAGACAAATCAGCATGTCAGCAGCATGCCTCAACTTGCCTCCATTGAAGCCGTTTCCATAGTAACTACAGTACCAGTCGCTGCTGTGTGGTAGTTGTTTCCATAGCAATGTGCTCTCTAATTGCCATGGTAACACAGCTGGATCATTATTGAATCAAGGACTGAGATTGTTTTGGTTTTAGTAACGTTTCTGTTAACTCTCTGGAACAAACAGTACAGATTTACTTATTCATAGTGTGTGAGTTTACTGTATGTAACATTAGGCTACATGAATAAGACTCATTTAACAAAATAAATATTAAATGCACACTTTGATGCAGTAAGTATAACCAGAGACACTCATCCACATTAAATTTTCTATGTATTTCTTCCTTAGTGCAGAATTTTTACCAGCCATACACTGCCTTACTGTGGACTAAATAAACTTTCAGTGTGAGCATTGACAGTTGTTCTCTTTTTTTGACTACGTGCATTGTGTCTGTGCATCCAGGTATCTCCTTTACCTGCAGTTGAAGAGAGATATCTACCATGGCCGTCTCCTCTGTCCTTTCGCTGAAGCTGCATATCTGGGAGCCTGCATCATACAGGGTGAGACCTACTGACAACCACTGGATTCAGTTCAACTTTATTGACAATTGACCTCCTGGTGATTTAGCATGTTAAGTTGATTCCCTACTGACAATTATTATATTTTATTTTTAACATGTATGCATGGCTTTGAGCATTTTAACTAGTTTTTTCCCCCCTAGCTTTGCTGCATTTTCACTACTGTTTTTTACATTTATTATGCAGTTTAGAATGAGTCACGAATATCCGATTATGTTCTTCTCACCGATGCTGTTCAGCTAGTTTGATCTGATGTTGTTAGCATTTTGTAATTTAAGGTATATTGTGTAATGTTGTAAAATTAAATTATGCCAACCATATTTCATATTCTCTCTTTTACTTTTCAATCTAAAAAAAATATATTAGAAGGCTAACGTTAGCTTTTTCGCTTGGTTCCATGAATGTATAGAGAGACCTGGATACAGCATCGGCAGCGAGGCCCCATTCTTTTCTATGGAAGTTGCTCAGTAAGCAAATAGGTTTAACTACTGTGTATGAAATGACCCGATGATCGGCACTGCTTCCGCATTGTGCGGCCCATAGAGCAGGCACTTTAGAGACTTCCTCCGGGTACTTCTGGTGTAGAGCTCTTTTAACTTAAAATTATTAAATTGTGTGGCTCTTTTAGACTTCCCAGTTGTTATTGGACTGAATGTATCAAATCCCTATAGTGAAACAAGTCATTTTTGGGGGGTTGTGATGCTGAAAAAAAGTATCCTGCTATATCTTTACATCTAAAATAGTTATTTGCTGCTGTATTAATTCTCTGCATGTCGCACATGGCACCTTTAACGTTGAATCACAGTGCGGAGCCACTTGCTTTAATATGGATTAAAAGTGGAATTAGCTGAGCTGATATAAATGAACCCCTCTGATACACAAATCTGTGAACTGTGCAAACACTCTCTGATTGGCTCATCTCCCCAGAGAGCGGAGCATGACTGGCTGAGTTATCTCGACTCACAGTGTTTCTGCAGCGTATCATTGGCTGCTTTGATTAACGAGGGCAGGTCCCTGTCCCACTTTGTCAGGGTGTTGATTACAGAGCTGGAGAATAGGTTGAGGATTACTGTTTAATTAAACTCCAGGCAAGTTTCTGATTTAACCTTTATTATGACTGCTAATTAAGAACGGATTATAAAGAGAAATTAGTGTCTGTTAAGGCTTTGTACTGGATCCAATAAGGGGAATATTTATCTATCGGGGTTATCTGAGCTGCTTATGTTCTCCTGTGGAAATAAATAAATATATATTAGGAATGAATCTGTTTTTAAGCTTTTGTCTGGGATTGAGCGACCAGCAAATTTGCTGATGACACAAATCTAAATTAGATTTTAAAGGAAAAGTTCAACATTTTCGGAAATATGTTTATTCTTATTCTGATGATGAGTTAGATGAAACTGATACCACCAGACAGGAGAGTGGTAGACAAGGCAAGGCGGCTTTATTTGTGTAGCATATTTCATACACCAGGGCAATTCAAAGTGCTTTACAGAAATATAAAACATAGTAAAAGAATACAGATTTCCTATAAAAGAGTAGAGAGAAAAAGAAGATAAGATAAAATCAATGACTAAATGATTTACTATTTTTAAAAAAATGCCATTAAAAGTAGCAAAAGTGCAGACAAGAAGTGCAGAGATAAAAAAGATTATTTAAATGATTTAAAGTTTAAAAATAAGGTTGCAGTAATAACAGGGTTGAGTAGGCATTGTAAAAAGGAATGTTTTTAGCTTGACTTAAAAGTGGTCAGAGTCCTGGCTTGTCTAACATCATCTGGGAGGTTATTCCAGAGGCCTGTACTATGAAGCAGGATTTGAAGTTAGCGAGGTAACTTCAGGGTTAACTCCTGGGATAAATCACTGTGGTAACTGATGCTGAACAGCTAAGAGTATCGGATCACAGCCTGTCAACACCCCGACCTCTGACCAGTCAGATCGCTGAAGAAAAAAGTATCCACAGACATAAATCGGGAGTCTCAGGTAGAAAAGAGGAGCCTATATACTGTTATACGTCAACAAACGTACAGTATAACAAACAAACAAATGGGGAGATCGTTTACACACTAAACACATGATTTTACAGTGTCCACAGTGACAGTGTTGCTACTTTTACACTCTAATTCATCACTGTAGCTCAAAATAACATGAGACACCTGTGTGATGAGAACTAGGAAAAAACAGATATTTTCTTAATAAAATAATCGGCTCTCGGTATTATAAATATAACATTTAGGTCAGGTTGACCTCATCAGTCATTAATTAGGCTACTTTTCCACTCTTCACTTCAGCAGCAGAAACAGTCTGGCATTACTTTTAAATGTTTTATGTGGCATGTTCATCATCCAACTAAACCGCAAAAAGTACTTGATACTAATGTCATATGGGCTCATAGCTCAGTGATACCTGTACATAATTTAGGTCTAATTTTGGATAGTTTTTTCAATTTTTCTACGTTTGCGCTAATAAGATCACAGTGTGTTTTTTACATCCCACACCACTGACATTTTATTGTCTTACAGTCGCAGACACTTTAAGTCTCATCTCATATGAAGCAGCCTACTTCATTCATGGTTCTGATGATGTCACTCGTAATTTACACCCCCGCCTCTTTCACATGAACGCCCTCGTGGCTGGATAGGAAAACCCAGAGTTGACTGAACTTGTTGATAACCAGCTTTGTAGTGTTGGTTATCCAGATGGCCACTGTTAGGGTTAGTCAAGCCAGATAACTAAAAGATATCCAGGGTAAGTTGAACTGGCTTCATAGTAGGCCTACAGGCCTCCAGTTTGTGCAGCATGATAACAAAACGCTGCTTCACCATGCTTTATTCTGGCTCTTGGGATGGTCAATAGGCTGACCCTATATCAATCTTCTCATCTCACTGTCCACCATAATGTGAATGAATGTATTTCTCAAAATGTTATGGTAGGAGGCCTGCATGTATTTAGCATATTGAAATCCAATTGCTTGAAAAAGTTGTTCCTTTAAAGCAGCAATAACTGTTTAACCTGTTGTTTTGAACCATTATCACACTGACATCACCCTCTGTTTCCAGCTGAGCTCGGGGACTACGACCCAGAGGAGCATCCGTCCGACTACATCAGAGACTTCAAACTGTTCCCTAAACAATCCCTCAAACTGGAGAGGAAGATTATGGAAATACACAAGAACGAGCTCAGGTAAAGCAGACGTGTGTGTGCGTCTGGTGGGGTTATTTGTTGTCTGGAGCTGCGTCTGTGTTATCAGTTTACTGTGTGATTTTGATGACAGGCGCAGATGCTCATTGCGCTTTCAAAGCAGGCTGTGGAGACAATTTTCCGCTGCAGACAATAAAGCGCTTTTTCTGTTGTTCTGGCTTGAGACAAAATTTGATGGCACCAAGAGATTTGTGGTGCATTGCATTGCAGAAGGCATTTCAGTTGAAAGTAAATAAAAAGTGAAATTAATTTGCAGAGGAATGACTGTAATTATTTATTCTTAGCTTAGTTTAGACACCTTGCTCGCTTCTACAGGATTTTCAGAATATAAATTTTGATTAAAATTAACCTTTCAGGATAGATGGAGCAGAATGAGCTGGACGTACGTGATCAGCAGGAAGTTGGGTGTGGAACAAGATGCAAAATGAAGAAAAGGCAGAGTTAAAAGAGGAGATTAATGAGCCCAGAGGTTGCTGCATAAATATGATTATAAAAGTGAATAAGATTAAAATATGTCAACAATAACACCATGTTCTTAGTCTAACTCTGTACTTTGCTCGGGCAGAATAAGTTCCTAACTCATGCGATCACATGATAGACAGTTACATATACATAACCCTCTCCCTCTGGGTATTTATGCATATCATCGCTGCAGCTCATGAGTCATTTTGTTAGGTTTGTGACCGTCACACTTACAGCGATTACAGAAACATCAAAGACAAATCCTTCATTTCCCACAGCACAGAGGCAGACAATGCCAAGTGCCCTCTGTCTGCCCCGATGGGTCTGACGGACAGGATTAACAGCGTGTAGATTAATGCCGAGCCGTCGAAAGACACTTCAGGTGATTTACAAATGGGGTGGCGTGCACTGTGTGTGTGTCAGTGAGTTGTTTTATCAAGCAGGTCTTTAATGGCTTTGACATTTTTATCCTGTGTGCTCATACAGACAGACGTCTGTATGAGCAATTACAGTGTTGATTTATCTGTCTGGCGTCGGGATGAGTATTTGCGTTCATCACTCAGTTTCTTGACTTCAAGTGGAAACAGACAAGTTTTTAAATTCCCGGGAGATCATACCCGCTGGCAGACAGATTTGCATAATGAAAGCGAGGCTTATAGGGACCCAATCTAAACGCCATGCTTCCTCTGAACACTTGACTGCTCTTAATATGTCTGTTTTCTGCTAAATGTTAACCGATGATCAAAAACTGGGCCGAATGTAATCACTTGCCAAAATGTGTTGTATGTAACACAATACCACAAAAATATTCATCTCACGCACATTGGTATTCTCCCTCACTTTCTCAAACGGATGGATGCTGAGGAATCATTCAAGAACAATTGTTGTGTCTTTCACACACACAAGTCCATGCTGTTAGTGTATGAACAGTTCAGTTTAGGACGAGATGTTACAATCCCTTGATGCATGTACTTGAGACTATGAGTGGGAGTGATAGTGCTGTCTGGGGGTTCCCGAGTGGGAGCCAAAGGGTTAAGGTTAGATGAAAAAGTAGGAAAGAACATAGGTATATAGAAAAGTAAGAAGTAGCGTAGGGAAGTCAGAACCAAAGAGAGACGTCTGTGTGGACTGAACTCTCCCCCACCGGACCAGGCTGTACGCTCTACCTTCCCCTACTCCCTCATTCTGATGAGAGAAGAGAAGAGAAACTAACAGGAGATGAATTTAATCGTGTTGGAGTTTAACAGGTCGATTGTTGTTGCACATATTTCCAATTGTGAGTGCAAGTTAGAGCCATACTGAGGTTTAGGGAGGGTAAAAACTTCAATGGGGTCATCAGGTGGGTACCCTCCTTCACTGGTGTTTAAATAATAGGCCTACAACACCTACAGAGGGCTCACTGGCAACACGTGTTGTCCCAGGTGTGCCCCCCTCTGCTTTTACTTGCTCGTGCCCTGCTGTTTTTTGTGGTATTTCAGGGCCCAAGTGGCGCCTCTCCTCTTGATCCATAGCCGCCAGCTTACTGGTTCAGCTGCACCAAAGAGAGCTTTGATGGCCTGATATTTGGCTTGGCCTTGAATTTTCTTTAAGAAGCCTGGTAGTTGGCTTGCCTACAAAGACTCTGCAGGTCACTTCAACTGGGTAAACCAGTGTAGACTATAATTGCCATTCTTGACTCATAGAGGAAAAATGCAAATGAATAAATAAATAAATCAACACAAATACATACCTTTACTGTTTTCATAACCCAGCACACAGGAATTTATGCTAACAGCTACAATGTGTTGAATTTTACATCACGTCATCCTCTCTTCTCCTCTTTTTAGGGGCCAGTGTGCTGCATTTGCAGAGTTGAACATGCTCCAAAGGGCGCACAGCCTCGAGACATATGGAGTTGACCCTCACCCATGCAAGGTAACGTTAGTGGAGACTGTACACTTAGGGTGCTTTCACACCTGCCTTGTTTGGTTCGGTTCAATCAAACTCAAGTTTGTTTGCCCGCTACGTGCAGAATTTTTGGGCAGGTGTGAACACAGCAATCACATCTGGATGTGCACTAAAACAACCAGACCAAGGACTTATCTGGTGTGGTTTGTTTGTGGTGAGCAGCTGTCCCAACCTCGATCTGAACCACCTACAGTCACATGACACATTGTTTGGGTTAAACATGAGCATGTTACAGTCCTNTTGATACTTAATTGTACATCTTGCTTTCTGCTGTGATATTAATGCTGTTTGTACTTTTCTCTTGGTGTTTCTCTTGCACCATTGTGATAGATGAAACTGACTGAATCTGATAAAAAAAAAGCAATATTTTACATCTCGCTCATTCTCGCCCGCTCTGTTCATCCTCTGCCCAGTCAGAGTGTGAAACAGGGACACCCTCCCATGGACAGGCGTATCAGATTATGCTGAGCAGATTAACAAGATATTTAAATTCTGTCTATTGGAGAGGATCCCCTTTATCTGCTCCGCTCTTGTCAGTGGGATGATTTTAATTTGGTTTGCTGGAAATGGCTTTTCTTGCCGGAACTGTAGCATCACGCTTATGTGAAGATGAAGAATCGGAGAAACTCTCGGGAACACAGAGGCATAGGGAGTGGTTTACAAAGGAAGTCTAAAGATGATAATCAATGATGTTGGAGAGTGACAGGAACATATTGTGTTCAGCTCTTAATCTGGAGTTGATATTGGTTTCATTTTGCCTCACTGTATCAAACCTGTATTCCCTGTGTCTATTTCAGTTACTGCAAATTAGGGGGTGAAGTTTGAAACAAACAAGTGATTTTGTGTAGGTGCCATTACCATGGAGATTACTGATCCGCGCTGTTAATCCACCTGTAGTATCATGTGCTGCCTCTCACCCTGCATCTGTGTGTGTGTGTGTGTCTGTGTGTTTGCAGGATTTCACGGGCTCCACAGCCTTTCTTGGATTCACAGCCACAGGTTTTGTGGTCTTCCAGGGAAACAAGAGGATCCACCTTCTCAAATGGTACAATTTTATCCCAAATTCTTGAATATAAACCTGTAAACATGGAAATTAGATGTGTAGACTCCATCAAATCTAACCATAACACATTCTTACATTTGGTTTAATGTAAAATGGAGCTAAATATATAAAATTTAATAGTAGCAATTTAAAACTATGGTCTTTGACTTGATAATCAGTTTCTGCACATATGATTATCATAAGTTTAAATATTTAGCTTTTGTTATTAAAAGTGAAGCTTAGTTACATAATCTCATGTTAACATTATCTTGCTTTAATTTGATGAATATCCCTCAGGATTTTGGTGTGAACATTTAGCAATTATTTGTATACTGTAACTCTTTGGTACACAATAAAGTACACTGGTAAAATAAAATGCAAACAGTTTTTAACATCTGTTGTTAACAGGCAGTGGGGGAAAAGTATTTAGATCCTTTACGTAATTAACGTCACACACTGAACGAGCCGCCTGTTAATGACGCTGTCGGCAAAGCAGTAATGATTGTGCTAAGTGGCTAATGGGCATGTAGCTACTGACATGTTTCAGATGATACGTCATGTTTGTAGTCGACCAATGAAGATGAGTTTACATATCACCTTAGGTTCGTCCTTCACCTTCTCAAAATGATCCCACACTTTGGATTTCCTGCCCGACATGTTATTAACTAGCCTGTGGAATAACCGCAGGTACCAGCCCTGGAGATTAGAGGCCGTACACACGCTGCGTCTTTAACCACCTGGAAAATGCGAGGTTGGGTGCTAGGTGCTACTCTTGTGCCGTCTTTGTGCCAGCTTTCAAGAGCATGGTGGCAGGCTGCATCTGAGGTTCCTGAACAAGCACCATATAGCCTATTTACCTGAAATCCTGAGAGCAGAGCTGATCTTCTTCCAGGAGCTGTTTAAAAGTGTGTAGGCCTATGGACAGATGTAAAGCTCTGGGTAGCCCTGCACTAACATGATCAACTTTTCCGTATTTATCAGACTGAATATTTACAGAAGAAGGGAAAGATATCTGTCGGCTGTGATTGGTTTGTAACATGACTGCTGAGCGTGGCCACTTCCTGTGTCTGTCCTTTCAAATTAAATTCCCACACGATCCAGTCATGTAGGTTTTAATTAATTTTGACAAGGTGCAGCTCCTAATAGAGTCACGTTGTTTGTGTTTTGCTTGTTTCTGCAACTAAGCAACCAATGAAATCTTGCCGACTAATGTTTGGTCAGCTATTAGGGGAAAGCCCTACTTGATGAAAACTGAAATCTGAAATTCAAATACAACACCTCAAAACTGCACATATGTAGAGTACCTGAGTAAACGTGCTTAGTTGCATCCCATCATTGTTAATAGGTGCAAATGTAAAGAAACTTAAATGGTAAAACACACTGTTGACTAAACTGTATATCAAGACCTTAAGGACACTGTTACAGCTCTGACAAATAGACAATAATAATCATACTGCTCCACCCTTAATCTTATTCCGAAGAATAAGTTTATTTTTCTCAGCAGTATTTTTATCATTTAGCCTTTAACCCTGATCCTAACATCATGGTCCTCTGCAGGGCTGACGTCAGCAAGCTGAAGTTCGAAGGGAAAACCTTTTACGTCATCGGGATTCAGAAAGAGGTGAGCGCTGCGTCCTCCTGCATGCTCTTTCTCCTCTAAAGGTTAAAAATGAAGAATAAAACATGCTGTGTAGTTTCCTCCATCGAGATGATGACCTGTGTAGTTGTATATTGTAGTCGTCATCATCATGTTGCCACGTTAGATCCCAACCTTTAACATTTGTGCAGTTCAGTACTTGTGGAAAAATGAAGACCATTACTGTGATGTAGATGCACAGTTACTGTCTGTGTTCATCTGATTCAGTTTCATGTTAGTTGACCTCTGAGTGTACTCTACATCCTCTATTCTCTTTCCTCCTTCCTTCTGTCTTTCCTTTCCCCCTTTCCTCATCAGTGTTACGGTTACATCAGATAAATGTGCGATGAAACTGTACTGTTTGTCTATGTAATCCTGTCCACCATCACACACACTGTATATGTGTGTGTCACTGTTTCAGATCTCCTTAACAGGCAGGATTCACTGTAACAGGATGGTGGGTGTGTTACGACTAACCTCCTCACTCGCATCATGTGTCGACTGTGGCCCAAATATGAGACTCCTTCATTACAGCCATGTTAGGGCACGTATAACACTGTAAACAAGTATAAATTACATGACATCTGTGACATAAACAGGAAATACTGACTTCAGACATGTTGAATTTATAACTAGTACAGGTTTCTTGCATTTGGGACACGTTTCATCTGTACACTTGATGTTTGTCGTCCAGTCGAGAGCTGTGGTAGATTCTGTGCCTCATAAATGTGCATACCGCCTTCATTCTGTAAGAACTGCAGCTGATTGTGTCTAATGTTGCTGTCTAACATTCACATTAAAAGGTAGCTTTGATATTTTTCAACTTGGACCTTTTTGGCCTTGTTTGTGTCTAAGTGTCTAATGGCAATAACAGTTTTTGGAACTGGTCCAGTATTGAGCGAGACAGATGCAGCCACAAGTGGTGAAACAGGCTGCAATATTACGACTCGGGGCATGTTCACACCCTCAATTTACGTCCACGAAAAGTGTTTATTTTTGCTGACAGGCTCAGACTTTTTTTAAACGTGTCTGAAACACATTAGGAAAGGATCCCTACAGAGATTAACGTTTTTGTTAAATATTAAGATCCTTTTTGTTTAACCAGAATGGCAAAACCCACCAGACTCCATTTAAGTAGAGTAATTTTAGCGTGTACGGAGACAGCATATGTTCACAACCAAATTGACCCTTCGCTGAGTCCCGCCCCTGGACGCAGACTGGCCAATCATAATGTTGCATTGGGCCGGACCAGGGTCCGACAACAACACAGCTGTGCTCCATTGACCCTAATGCAGTTGTTTCAGATTTCCTTCATTTTCAAAAGGAAGGAGATATATGTTTCTTCCCAGTTCCAAAACCAAAATCAAACCCTGAAAAGTGTAGGGTTAGCTAGCTAGCTACCGAAGATATAGCCTACTGAATATACAACACAAACACAGGTCATCTGCACACACTGCGATGTCACACAGCTGGTTCAGTATCAGCAAAGTTTCCCTTCATATTCATTGTCTTCTGGTTCACTTTTACACTGTGATCTGTAGCCTATAGTTCGGCTTTAGCTTCTAACCAGCTTTGTCTTTTTAACCTGTTGTTGCTGCTGAGTCAGTTTGACATCCTGGATATATCCTTCAAACACAGACTGTAGACCCCTCTGTCTGCTTCTCTCTGGAATCACTCTTTCATTTTTACAAAAATATGATAATGTTTCTTCAGGGAGTGCAGTTAGTTACAGTGTGGTCTCCATGCTTACTGTGACAGCTTGTCGAACCATCACAAACCAAACCAAAGCTGGCGATAGTTGGAACAGCAGAAAGATAAACCATGACGGCCAATTTTAAAAATTGCTGTTCCCATCAGTCACCTAGAGTAGAGATGAATAGATCTGCACACCTTCATTAGAAGTATTTTAATGCTCTGTCATGTTTCGAGCCAGCAGCTCTTCCTTGGACTTACTGTCTGAGCTATTTGGTGTGTGGCTCTATGTGCTTCTCCTCTGCCAGATATTTCTTTGATCCAGCACCCACTGCATATGACACTGGGATGTGTGTGTCTTTGTCATACCTTTTCTTTACCCGTTAGTCACTTAGGCACAAAAACATGGGAAAATAAGGTCCAGGTTGAAAAGACGTCACCCTCAACCCGTTTTGATTCAGTCTGTGCTGCGTTAAGAATACTTAAAAATGGTCATAACTGTAGTTATTAAAGCCAGGTTGCTCTTTAATCCACCAATCAGCCGATCAATCAGCCAATCAGTCTCATAACTATCCTCTTCATTACAGAAGCTTAAACCATCTCTCTCATCTCTGCTTAACTTTGTCGATATGTCTGTCTGTTTGGCTACTCATGAATGGCTGAAGATGCAGTTTTATCTTTGTGTTTCTGTCTCTTCTCTCTGTGTGTAAACATAGTCATCACTGGTGAGTAAATACAAGTAGTCGTAGTGTCACAAAACATTGCTGTACTTAGATCCTCAATTTGATGCCTCTCCTTATACAGTCCTGCCCTCACCTCACTTTATGATTGGAAGAACCTTTTTCATCTTTTTGTTTGTCATTTTGATTTATATCACTTTTGTACAAACATGTTCATTCAGTTTATTTTTATTTTATTTTTTAAGTTTTAGCTCATGTGCAAACAGTTATTTTGAGTCTTTGTCAATAAATAATCTGCTGTATGGTTGAAATTTTACTTAGCATCTCTGTCCACAGCCACATTATCAGAACAAGCTTCATCGCTCCATCATCAGTAAACTATAGACTATGCTATTCTGATGCATAATCTATATCTCTGTCCATTTAATGTCAGACACTGTGTTCGGAAACCTGTTGATTTCTTCATTTTGACTGTCTTTATGTGTGGGTGTGTGTGAGAGTGTGTATATTGTATACTTTTACATTTTTCACTGTATTTTATCAGAATTTGAATTTGTGTATTGATGTGTAGTCTTCCACCATGTGACAGGTCACTGCATGTTTCACTCTTTGCCCTCACCTCTGTTATTTAACCTGAAACACATTAACTTAAGCGTCCCACTTTGAGCTAACGGCAACTTTTCACGGCTTTATAACTGTAACGCTTGCCTGACATGCAGTTTATCTACTGTATCATTGTTCTAAGCCCCCATTTCTTTAGTTACCCATTGGTGTCCCAGTTTTGAAAAATAAAGTTAATAGTTTATTTATCATTACACCAGGGGATAGCTATTTTCATTAAAGCTCCAATGTGTAAGATTTAGGGGGATTTTGTGGCATCTAGCGATGAGGATTGCAAATTGCGACCAGCTGAAACTTCTACTGGTAAAGATTTCTTCAGTGTTTATTGTTCAGGAGATTTTTTCCGGGAGCCAAATTATCTGCAGGGGACTGCACCCCTTAAAAACAAACAGACCCAGTGATTTAAACCGGTAAAAACACTCAAAAAAATTAAGTTTCACGCTGTGAAGATCAGTCTGTTTCTGATGCTTCTCGGCACAGAGAGGTTGCTAACTATGGTGGCTGATGCGAGATTGCTAATGGCCCTACCTAGAGCCAATGTTTGGTTTGTCTGTTCTGGGCTACCGTATAAACATGGTGGTGCAACATGGTGGACTCTGTGGATGCGGACCTGCTTCCTATGTAGATATAAACAGCTCAGTCTAAGCCTTAGGGTGCTTTCAGACCTAGAGTTGTCTTGCTTTGGTCCGAATCAGGGACTAATTTTGTTACAATTCCCTAGAGTTGGTTCGTGTTGTCACGGCAGCATTTACAAGCAGACCAGATCAAATGCCTTGTGTGTGAAAGCTGCTCTTGATTGGTCAGAATTTCCATGCGGCAAAAACCTAGGAATTAAACAAAACATTGAAGAAGAGTACACTTGCAAGATAAATGTGACACTTTCTAATGTCACAATGGAGGGACAACTACGGAAGGGTGATTTTAGCGCTGGTCATCATGGACTATATTGCTGTCATTGTTCATTTTAGTCAAACCATACAGTTTGAAAACGAGGCGCGGCTCCAGAAAACAATGTTTTGATGCATTGGATGTGCTGAATGTGCATATTAAGGCAGTACAGGAGGAGGTGCACATTAATAATCCTCCAGGACTGTAACATGCTCATGTTTAACCCAAACAATGTGTCATGTGACTGCAGTTGGTTCGGATCCAGGTTGGAACACGTTCTCACCACAAACGAACTGCAATCGAGGTAGTTTGTAACCAGACTGAGACCACCTCTTCAAGAAGGTCTCGGTCCGGTTGTTTTGGTGCACACTCGAGTGTGACTGCTGTGTTCACACCTGCCCAAACGAACTGCACTTAGGGGGGAAAAACATACTTGAGTTCAACTGAACTGAACCAAACAGGGCAGGTGTGAAACCACCCTTAGAGAATCGCTGTGCTTTCCATACCTAGAGTATTACTACTAGAATTTACGGTAACGATACAACAGCGATTCTTATTTGCAGGTTATTAACCTATATGATAAAGAGAAGATACTTGTTATGTTTATTATATTCTATTTCTGACAGTATGTTCCCCTAAATCCAACACACTGGACCTTTAATGCAGTTGGTACTCTGTAATACAATGGTACAAGTAGTTGAGGAGCAATTCAATTAGCATCATAAAATTTTATGTCAGGCTTTAAAAGCACATCAGCCAAAGTGGGACCATAGACAATTTGTTAATGACATGCAGTCCTGGTACTCTAACACACCTACACACATACACACACATACACACACACACACACACATGGCCGCTGCAGCACATGTGTGTAAATCACAGCTACATACCTGATATAACTGATGTGTGACACTGAGGGGGTTGAGCAATATGGCTGACTAAGTGGCTTTAGGAAAATGAACAAACTGGATCAGAGCACTCCCATGTCATTGATCTCAGTGTTTCCTCTCTCCCTCCATCACCCTCCACCCCTGTTGTTGGGCGACATCGATCTGGTATCTCATATTACCAGACACACAGGACTGAAAAGTAGACATTTACAGGAATATATCCCTCCTCCTAGTCCATAAAAAACCATGTTCTGCAAACTACAAGCCCTTTTACTGCTGAACACCGTGGCCAAATCACTATATCTGTCTTACATCTTGCTAAGCTTTTGGCTTCGGGTCTGTGGGTCAGCATTTTGCACAGCTCCCTCTCACCATGTTCAGCACTTCTCTTGTCCTGATTCACACATCTTTTGGTAATCTTATTTCTCATCCTCGCTGTCTCTCTCTCTCTGTCTCTGTCTGCCTGTGTGTTTATTTCTGTGCAGAAGAAACTGGTGTTGACATTTCACACCTCGACCCCTGCTGCGTGTAAACACTTATGGAAGTGTGGAGTGGAGAACCAGGCCTTTTACAAGTGCGTCTACACACACACATACACACAAAGCCAGGATATATATATTGAGCTGCTCTTGAACTCAGACACACCTGATACTGTAAGGCATTATTCCATTACAAAATGTCCCTTTTTGGGACATTGTGGGACATATTTGTCGATAAAAAACCAAGATACTTAACATAGAATTATAATATATTATAAATACTCAACTGAGATGGCACTGATCTTTTTGGTAACTGATGCTGCAGAATATATTTAAATGTAATCCATTTTAAATTATACCTCTGTCATTTTCCTTTGTCCCCTTTTCTGTTCGGTGCTCACAGGTAGCTAAAATTTACTTTCATTTAAGTTTCACTTTGATATTTAGCAGATTATGACTCTTTCATAATGATTCTCCTGCCTCTCTGTGGCTCTGCTACAATATGCTGCTGCCCTTCACTGAGGGAGCAGCTGATCGCTCCAAGGCTGTCGCTCTGAATTCACACAGACTTTTGACACTGCCAGCGTGTCAGAAATGGAAACAGGCTCCGGGTAAAGGCGAAAGTGAGAGAATGGAGACCAAACTTTGTCTGGGGTCATGGTTGCGACAAGGTTGCGAGCAAACAAAATAAATGAGCTTGTTGCCTCGGTCAGGGTTCAGAGGGAATTTCAGCCATCAGTTTACTGCACTTGATAGTCATATAACAGCAGAGGAGGCTGTCAGACCTGTGATCACACTCCTTGAGTACGTAGTTACATAAAATATCCCAACAGTTTTATAAGACTTAAACTGTCCCTCCTCCTCCTTCCCTCTCCTCTGACAACCTTATGTCAGCTAATGCCTGTGTCCAAGGACACGAATGAACTTTCAGCCTCAATCTTTAAGCCAACTGGATGGATGGATGGATGGGTGGGTGGGTGGATGGATGGATGGATGGATGGATAGATAGATAGATAGATAGATAGATAGATAGATAGATAGATAGATAGATAGATAGAAGTGCAGCATCTCTAATTTTAGGCAGGACATTATATCTCGAAGCCACTGGCCAGATGTGGGCGGGGCAGATGGCACGTCTGGCCAAGAGCAGAGCAAAAGTCACCATACGGTGCTCTGCAAGTGTAAGGTGGGGGTCGTCTCAACCAGCAACGCCAAACAAGGCAACAGTAGGGTCTTGTTATAGATTTTTTTAAGGCTTTTAGACAGGGTATGGAAGATATCTTTCCAAAAATGTTGTAAGTGAGGGCTAAGCCGCTATATATGGATCAGACTGGCATCGTTGTTTTTGCATTTGTCACAGATGGGGGTTGTATCAGGGTAGATACTAGATAGTTTAACCTTAGACATGTGGGCACTATGGACCACCTTAAATTGCAATAAGCAATGTCTTGTGCAAAGTGAGGATTTATGTATTGTTGAAGGAACAGAGAGCCATTGGTCTTCAAATATAGGTTTCCAGGCTGCCTAATCCTGTCTAGAGGTGAACATGTCAGCACAGATGTTTCTAAATAATTTAGACAATGCATCTATAGACAGTAGACTAAAGAAAAGACACATGGCAGTTGGTTTGGTATCAGGTTCTGTAGGAAAACAAGGTATGTTTGAACAGACAAATCTGTCTGACCTGGAGATATCAGAAAAAATGTGTCTTAGTTAAGGCACACTTTGCGGATAGTTAATCAAAAGAGACAAAGCAGCCATCTTCAAACATGTCTTTGAACATTTAAAGAGATGATTAGAAGGGACTAGGTCCGAAGGGAGACGTCTCTGTGGCCACATGACTTCCTAAACTGGGCCCATTGCCAATGATTTTGACTGTTTTTGTTTGATTGTTATTTGAACAAAACATGACATTTGATGGCATCACCTTGACCTCTCGGAAGCTGTAGACACTGGAAGACACCTTTCAAGTTAACTAATTAATCCATTATTTGGAAAAATAATCTGCAGATTGATTGATAATGATAATCATCTTCAGTTGCAGCCCAACCACCAAGGACGAGAAGTCTCTGAAGTGTAAAATCTGAACATCTGAAATTCCATAAGGACAGCAGGCCAAGTCCATCTGCTGCAAGACTGTGTGTTACAAATAAAAGCTCGAGAGCAGTGTGGACCTTATGGTGAGATTGTTTGGTCAACAAACACATCTCATTTTCAGGGACTGTAAGACTGCAGGAAATCCTGTCTGTGGACAAAACAATTCCCACAAAGACTAACAGATGTATTTTTTATTCATTTACTATGTTTTAGTTATTTTTAAATATATTTTGGGGGCTTTTTGCCTTTATTTGATAGGACAGCTATAGCTGAAAGGGGGATAGAGAGAGGGGATGACATGCAGCAAAGTGCCATTGATTGGAATTGAACACACTGCCACTGCGGTAGGGACACAGCCTTTGTGCATGGGATGCCTGCTCTACCAGGTCGGCTAGTGAGCGCCCCCTATACTTTAGTTTTGAAATATATGATTTTTCATTGAATGCTGTTATGGTGAGCCAGTTTTCCCACAAATCTTGTGTCATCTTTTTTAAAGGGATACGCTAAAATCTCAAATACATATTTTTCCTTTTACCTGTAGTGCTATTTAGCAATCTACACTGTTTTGGTGTGAGTTGCCAAGTGTTGGAGATATCAGCCGTGGAGATGTCTGCCTTCACCCAAATATAATGGAACTAGATGGCACTCAGCGTGTGGTGCTCAAAGCAGAGCGCTTCCAGAAATCATGACCCAGTTAGTCAAGATAATCCACAGACCTTGTTCTGAGTAGTGTCAAAAAGGAACTATTTTAATTTCACACACCAACCCACACCTACTGCTAGCTCACCCAGCACCACTGAGCTAGCTAATAATACAGCTCTGCCACAGAGGACACCATCTATTTTAACATCTTGCACAAGCCTCTTGTTTATGAGCATTGTGCAGTGATACAGTTGAAAGTTGTAGTTCCTTGGAAAGAAAATAGTTCCTATGTGAAACTGCTCACAACAAGGTCTATGGATTATCTTGAGTAACCAGGGCATGATTTCAGGAAAGAGACATTGCTGTTGAGTCTTTCAGACATATTTTTTGGTGCTTTGAGCACCACAAGCTGAGTGCCATCTAGTTCCTTTATAGTGGAGAGAAGGCAGACATCTCTATAGCTGATATCTCCAACACTCGACAATGGCCTCAACAGATCTTCATGGGCCAATCGTGTTAGCGAAGTTACTGTTAACATGAAGTGGCATTAAGGCTTAACAGCATTTTTAAATTGCAGCAGACCATCTCAAGTATCACTAGGCTGACAATTTTATTTGAAAACATGAAGCTCTTACACATCTTTCACAAATCCAGCCAAATACATCTAAAATATTAACATTAGGCTAATTAAAAACTTGCCAACATTAGCATGACTTTTGTTTTGTGATAGCTGGTGTGGCTCAGTGTGTTTATTTAACCTTAAACAGTAGGCTTGTACTGTTAACGATCAAGGTGGGTCATTTCATCGACTGTAACTCATTTTTTAATCACAAAAAAATGTCTTATATTAAATACTCAGTGTCTTTATTGAGTCAAGAGCAGTCACGAGAAAATGGCGGCTCGACCCCAAGTCTGAAAATGTGGAAAAGACGTGTATGTCATGACGTCAGACGCAAAGTCAGACATGAAACCTAAGCGAAACCTAACTGATGCACTTAACCTGGACTGAGAATAGCAAGTTAAAAGAGCAGTCTGTAATTTCAATTTGATATAATCCACAAAAGTACTCTGCCACCCCTGAAGCACAAAACTGGATGAGATTCATACAAAATATTACATTACTTCAACTACTACTCAAATACACCTTTTAGAGTGCACACCAAAACAATCTTGATTGATAAATAGCACTCCAGGTAAGAGGGAAAATATGTATTTTTGATTTGGAGTCCCTTTAAATTACACAACGTGTAAAATCATTTCTAAAAAGAAAGCACAGTCATAAAGTTATAAAAGCATTTTTATAACAGCCCTCGCCTGTATAGCCCTGGATATTGTCTGTTGTCTGGATATTCTTAATGACAGCAGCTCATGTGTCTCTGAGAGGCGGACAGAGAGGGAGTGGATGTCATCTCGGATGCCGGACAAGCATCAGAGCAGCTTAATCAAATCGGAGTGAATTGAGTTTGTAAATGGCAGTCAAGCAGAGCTTTGTGTGTCCCACACACACTATGCAGAGCAGAGGTGTGTGTGTCTGTACGCCAGCGGCACCATCTCTGCTGCACGATAAATGAACCAAACAAAAAGGTTTGACCTACGTCTTGTTTTAAAAATAATAACCCTTGAAACACCTTCCTTTTCTGTTACTAAGAGGCTAGTCTGTACACAGGGTTAACGTCACAGTCATAAACAAAAACCCATGAAACTGTTGTTTACAAGAATGAGTTTTTTGTGCATGAGGTGCTTTGTCATAATGAAGTTCTTTGTCTGCATCTCTTTTTGTTTCCTCCTCCCTCTCTGACAGGTGTGCAAAGTCAAGTCAGATAAAGACAGTTTCCAGCAGTAACATCTTCTTCAAAGGCAGCAGGTTCAAATACAGGTAAGACGGTATTCAAGTCAGTTTTCAGAAAAGGAGGAACACTTTTACAGGTAATGCAGTGACAGACAGAATTTTGACTGCAAAAGATGCGTAATGTGTGCTCAAGGAAAGTGAGCGAGATCTATATGTGCGACGAGAGTTGGAAACGAAAAAACGGGGAGCCACAGGAGAGAAGGTTATATGTGAATTAAGTGAGAGATATAAGGATACAGAATCAGATTCAACCACTTGAGAGATTTTATACATGCAAATTCATCTACGGTTCATCATCAGGTCATCACTCAACTGCTCCATCATTCTACTTTGCAATTATACTTAACCTTTTACTGTAGATACATTGCGAGTTTGAGGAAAACCAACTACAGTGACCATCCTCTGACCTGAGACATTCGAATACCACACATACTGATTTATCTTCAGCCCATTAACATGCCTCTCCTTCTTGTACATCAGCACCTACATCCAGCTTGGCGCTAGTTTCTGTGATTTTCTGACCCTAATATGACAAAATCTCTATATAAGTCTGGTATTGAAGCCATGTTAGCTCCAATTCTCCTCTCTGACAAAGCTCTTTATCGGGCTTACACTTCAGTCCGCTCCATTTCATCAGCTAGCTAAAGCAGTTTAGCTCAAGGGCTCAGTGATGAGTAATAGCATATGGTGGAGTTTGCTTTGAAATAAGCGAATTGGTCACTTGTGCAAATGCAAAGAGGAAAGACATTTGTGGTCCACAAATAGAGGCAGCTTTCTCAAAGCAGAACAGATCAGATCCGTATTGAGCCAGGCCGATTACGGCTCCTCGTAAAGCTTTTTCCAGCATAGACCCACGTTTGTCAGCACACAGTATTGATGTGACTCTCATCTTGTACTATCAAGTGGATGTCTACCACCCCAGCTGTTTCATCTCACCCTCTAATTTACAACCCAACCATCAATCTGAGCAACAATAGACTAATGGGTGGGATGGTGGAGCCTGCTGGCTTGAAACAGGGCAGTCAGAGTCCAGAAACTCCAGTCACCCAACAATCAGACTAATGGAGCTACTGACCCTGCTGGCAGGAAGCTGCCAGCTCAGCAGCACAGAAACACCATTGATTGTGAGCAACAACTGCACAAGACAGATGAAATTTATTTTCTGTTGTAGTTCTTTCAGTCAGACTCGCTTGTCTCCAGCTTGATGCAGACACAAAGACAAACATCATGCTGATTTCAGCAGCTTTTCATTGGCATCCTATCTTAATTTGAGTCCTCAAGGAGGACCTATTACCCTCATTTTCAGGTTCATACTTGTATTTTGGATTTCTACTAGAACATGTTAACATGCTTAAATGGTCAGAAAACACCTAATTGTCCTCATATTGTCTGTGCGGTGACACCTATATTCACCCTCTGTCCAAAATACTCTTGTTTTAGCTCCTGTCTCTTTAAGCCCCCCTCCCAAAACAGCCCAGTCTGCTCTGATTGGTCTGCGTTTCTGGGTCCACTGTATCTCTGCATCTCTACACTGTAATTACAGCCAATAGGTGGGTTTCCATCCACCTATTTTTATTCGCATTTTCAACAATTGTAAAAAGAAATTTGAATGGAAACGCCAGAAATTCGAAAAAGGGCCGAAATATCGCAAAAAAGTTTTTACACTTGGAGGGGGTGGAAAAGTCAGCGTGTCGATATTAGGAAAATGCGACTTTTGGCAATGGAAACAGATTTAGCGAATAAACAATGACGTAGGCTACCGAATCCTACTTCTACTTCACACGCACACCTGTGTGAACTTAGAGAGAGGGAATTACTCCAGTGTCAGGTGAGTGTAGGCTATTTCACAGCTTACCTGAATAGACTGGATGTGTTGAATACCGCTGCATCATGTGCGCTGCCTGGTGTACCAACACAGACATCACGGCATTATGTAGGCTACGCTGACAACGCTGATATGAGTGTGATGAGAGCACTCGCAATAGCCAAGAAGTTCCCAAGGAATCTCTCCATCTCGTCGTAGTCATGGATGTGCCGGTAATTGTTTACATCAGTTGTGGACATGAGACGCTCTCAATGACTTCATCTCACGGCGCCCTCTTCTTCTACGGGTGTTCTTTTGCATTTTATTTTTCATGAGAAGCGCCACCTTCTGCTCGACCTGTTGACTCCCAATACTCGCAAGACAATAATGAATGGAAACGTGCATAAATTCGCATTTTCTTTTGCGCATTTTCACAAAATATGCTTAAAATTTGCGATACATTTGGATGGAAACCCAGCTAATGACTATAACAGAGGATACTGGCAATTTCGGAAAAGAAAACAATAAATGCTTCCAAACACAACCAGACATGTTCCAGCAGGAATATGATCTGAAATCATAGAGAAATTTATATCAGCATCAAGATTATGTTTCCTTGATGTTAGCATGTCGCTACATGTAGCAGTGTTGCCTATGTAATGTAAACACTTGAAGCAGAGTGCCTGGAGCAGACATGAAGAAATATGTCATGAGCACATCCTGATTTTGCCAAGTGGTTGTTGTCCTGAGAACAACATTTCATAGCCCTACCTCAACCAATCAACGTTTGTGATGTCACAGAAGAGAACACTGCTGCCAGAGCCCTGCAAAATATATACCAAACAGCTGTGCAAAGGGGCGCAATGTACAAGATGAGACCCAGCCTGAAAGTTGTACTTTAGTTTACACTAGTCTGCTGCTAATTGCTATTATTTTGCTGTCATGGAAATGTGCTCACATTAGCTTGCAAAGTTGAGCTAACAGTTAGCCAGGTAGGGTGCTAACTGCTCATTATTAACTCCTTGATCATAACAGAATACATTCACTTTCCATCTTGCTCATTTTATAAAGGCCACTACAAGAAAATGTGCTCTTTTGTTTGGATTGTCAGAGACAGTGAGTTATAGATGTTTGATTCTGGCTGCCAGAGTAAGTGGACTAGCTGTAGCACACTAGCATTAGCATGCTAACATTTTTTTCCAGGACTGGATCTGGTGACAGAAAGTATTGCGTAATGAAAGTGAGGCTTTTAGGGAACTGATCTAAAGCACATGATAAACCAAGAACACCTATTAATGTGGTGGCAGCAATCACTGTATTATTATACAGTATGTCACAGAAACTAGGGGAAAGCATGTTAGGTCCTCTTAAATAGCCTACAATATGAGCCTGATTGAGGTCTGAGGAGTTCAAGTAGGTCTGTACGTGTGTCAATTAAAACAAGAGGTGACTGAACCTCTTATAGATTTTTTTCTGTGCACAGTAATGACCTGTCAATACTATTTGTTTGCTGCTTTCTGTGACCTTTGCCTTAGTCTATATGCTTTAAAAAACATTTTACTACTGTTCTTTTTTTTCTTAAAGCCATTTTTAATGAAGCTTTCAAAAAAAGCAACAAGAACAACATTTTAATTACAGTATTTTTCACAGCAGTTGCAACCGTTTGTCTTTGTCTTTCTTGCAATGAATGTGTGTTTCTCTCTGTTAGTGGAAGAGTAGCCAAGGAGGTGATAGAGGCCAGCTCTAAGATTCAGAGAGAGCCACCAGAAGTGCGCAGGTAAGGACAAGTGATGATTCACCTGCACTCTCTCACACACTTAGAAATTAAATTATTGCCGGTCTGCTTATTTGCAGTAATACCCTACTACTGAGTGATATTACACAGGGTTCCCATGCGTCCTTGACATCCTTAAAGTTAGCAAATTTTCAGGATAAAAAACAAGGCTTCAAAGGTTTTTGAAAACAGTTTTGACAAGCCATGCTGCTTGACGGCACTCTGCAAGTTAACAGTAATAAACTTTGATCTATGTCTCAAACTATGCCTTGTTTGGTCCTTGAATTTGACATAATTGGGCCTTGAGAGTCATTGACAAGTCCTTGGAATTGATTTTTGAGTATTGTAGGAAACCTATTTACAAGTAAAAATCCATTATTATCCATTTATAGAGCAAAAGACGTGCAAAGAAAGGCTGTGAAAATAAAGCAACATCTGGAGCAGACATTTTGATTATGCAAGACAATACACATCTCAACGTAACGCAAAAAGCAGTCATTGTAATTGATGTTTGTGTTTTCAGAGCCCAGTTTGGTCAGAGTCGAAGTTTTAACTCTCTGAGCCACAAAAACCTCATCATGAACATGGAACCACTGGTACCTGCACTGCCCTCCACCAACGAATACGAAGAGACGGCCACAGACAATGGTAGGATGTTACTTAAACCACACACACGCACACACACCCGTGCCCTCCTGCCACAGACTTCTGGAAAGTCACATGTGGTCTCCCTTGTGTATGGAGCAGCACATGCACATTCACAACCCTCAGACAGAAAGCGTTAATTGAGCAGCTGATGCTCCCATCCCTCCATCAGTCTTGTCTCCCTGGAGACACCAATTGCAGCATGCTAAAAATACCCTTCCCATGATCCTCTCTGAGTTTACCACCATGCCTGTGTGTGTCTGTGTGTCCATGTGTCTGACTTGGTGTCTGTTTTACAGAGGAAGGTACACGGAAACAGGCCCAGCTTGTGTTATCATTAAGGAAAACTCAATTAGAAGTTATTTGTTTGGCTCCGATGTGTCTGTCTCTGTTTATGTCCTTGTTTGCTTCTGTGTGCACAACATGCCGCCTTGTGTGTGTGTGTGTGTAAATGTTCAGTGGTTGCATCATAACAGTGAGAGTCAAGCACATCCATGCTCATCTCATGTTACGATATGAGTATTATGATTAAATATAGTGATTTATTACCTTTTTTTCAAATTAGGTCCTGCAAAGGAAAACTTGTCAACATCTGTTTTATCTAATAAGATTAAGTTTTCAGTCTGTTCATCTCACTTCAGCCATTTTTTGCAGCAGCAAAATGTATCTAGTCGACTGAAAAAACAATTGACTATATTATTCTAGTAGGCTACCTAAAGCTTAATATGTATTTGTCATATTAATAATTTACATAATAAGAAATTGATACTTGGCACTGTGTGATGATACAATATTGTCACACAAAAATATTGCGATACTTAAGTTTTTTTACATCACCGCTAGTTTATTTCTGTTTTTCAGATCAGCAGCAGTTCATTTTATGGGTTTATTATTTCCTAATAATTTCCATTAAAGTCCTAGAATGTTTTCAGGAAGTACAAATTACATAGAATAAATAAATAAATAAAGTAAAGTAAAATAAAATAAAATAAAATAAACTTAAATTAAATTAAATTAAATTAAATTAAATTAAATTAAATTAGATAAAATAAAAATACAAATACAAATAATAATTCTGTAAACGAAAATTGTGATTTAAATCCAAGTAAATGTTCATTAATTATTCTTTTATTAATGGAAACTTATCCTTCATTTATGTGGAATTGTATGCAGGCCTGTAGTTGACCTTCATGTTTTCATGTTTTTTGCAGAGGACTAAGAGACTTAAGTTTAATGTTGAGCTAGCAATTGATTGGAATCAATTTATTAGAAGTGCACAAATCAAACAGTGTCTATTTACCCTTATCGGTATTACATTACATAGTTCTTTCTAAGGAATGTTGAGCATATCATTTAGACATTAAGTAGGAGTATGTAGCCACAGTGGTGAGGTGCATGATGAAAGATATTTCAGTGGAGCTATCCTTCAGCCAGCCTGTTGACACCTGGCTCACAGCTGAACTAAGATCATTTCTCCACCCATGAGAGAACAGAAGCGTAGGGTCCGATGAGGTAACGTGGTCGAGCAGAGCAACACTGCCCAGGAGAAAACCTAATGAAGCAGCACAGAGCAGTTGGTATTTAAGGGTTTTTCCCCAGGACACCACCTTCCCCGAGTAGATTTATGCAGCCTATAAAAAGTACTCACTACACTGTGGGCTTCAATGTTTCCCTCGTGACATTTTTTCCACGTTATCGTTATTCTCTGTCGCCTTTTCTCTCTGTTATTATTCCTGACAGTCTCCACCGCGACCTGTTACCTGATTAAAGCATAAATCTTGTTGTTAGGAAGGAGAAAGCAGGGTATGGTTACACAAGATAACACAAGAGCCAGGAGTTAAAGGAGATGGAGAGAATATGAGAGAGGAGAAAATGGACTGTAGGGCTGATTGAATGAACAGAGGTTCGGCCGGATGTGCTCCACAGGCTCAAGTTGGATATAAGGATGCACAGGAGGGAGGAGTGTGTGTGTGTGTGTGTGTGAGAGAGTCAAAGCTCGCCAGGAGGAAGTGAAGGTGAATGTAAGACCAGTGGAAGGTTGTATTACAGAAGACATTGGACAGAAGAGAGGTGTAAGAAAAGGCAAGAAAAGTTATTTTAATGAGAGTGCGTGTGTCTGGTAGTTAAAATGACAAGGGCGTAGCTTTGGTTTCAGAAGTAAGGAGGAGGAGTAAGGAGTCAGGTGTTAAATAAATAAATATTAAATAAAAATATATATCACTTTAACAAATGACACATTGTGATTATATAGATAATCAAGCTTTCAATAATAATGTTAATTCAGCTGTAGATGTTTGAGGTCTAGCTAATTTTATCTCCTTTATATCCTGTTTGGTAGTTTAATCTACAGCAGTGTGTCATATTCTATAAGATCATCATGTGTTTGTAGCGTGGTTGTCCTGTAAAAACCACGTATCTTCAAAAAGTCACTTTTCCAACACAGTCCTTCTCCGACCTTGTTACATATCGACATTTGATCATGAACTTTCCACGTCCCTGTATGACGTGCGAGGTACCCTAGTTGCGGTGGATGTTGATGTTCTGGAACGCCGTATCAAGTTCTGCCTGTTGCCTGCAGTGTCTTCTTTCAAAATACACTTCCATTTTCACAGGAAATTTTCCATTAACATACAGTCTCTTTTAAAATAAATGCACTACAGCAGTACAACAAGCGACTTTTTTTTTCCTTCAGCAACTAATGGATGTGGTTAGGTTGAGGAAAAAGATTTGGCTTTATAATCTTCTTAGATGTGAACACTGCTCTCCTGGGTGAAAGTCTGTGTTTATTGGACCCATTCACCACCCCTCGTCTCTGCCCTACTTGGACTTTTGTCCCCTTAGCTTTCATTTGTGTCCCGCCGCGTTTCAATTTTATTTATAAAGCCCAATATCACAAATAACAATTTGCCTCAGAGGGCTTTACAGCACATGACATCCCTCTGTCCTTTGGACCCTCACAGCAGATAGGGAAAAACTCCCCCCAAAAAACCTTTAACGGGAAAAAAAAAGAAGTTATTGCCCAAGCATCTGATTTTGATGACTTTGAAGTGAGAGCAGGTTGACTTTTAATGAAAAACAGTCCTGTCTTCAGCTTTGTGACGATGCATTTTCCAGCTGATCCAAGTTTATTTAGCATAAAAATTAGAAGAATTTTCTAAACCCTTCATTCTTTACTTTTTCAAAAAAGAAAAAACAAAATAATTTGTTTTGTAGTACACAATGTGACTATGTGACTACCAGACTATGAACTCTCTCACACCGTTTACAGTCTGTGATTACTCTGATCAATATTTATCTTTTAGAGCCATGACATCATGTCCTTTTTCGGGACACTGTGTGCGGACTGAAATGAAATGTGACCGTACCTTAGGGCCCAAGCAGGCCATTTCCTGATGTTGCCTCCTGCTCTGCTCCTGAGCCAGGAAACCAAACCAACCACAGAAGCAGCAGGCAGAGAGGGAGGGACGTCACAGAACACTGTCCTTAACTGCATTACCTTTAACTGATGCTCAGTTATCTTTAGAAGAGAATATTAACCATAAACAGATGTTTACGTCAAAACATGCAGAGGAGCTGGCAGTATCTTTTTAAGCCCTGAGTAGTGTCTGAGCCAAACAATCACTGTTGCTCATAAAGCTTATTGCAGTGAGTGTGTAAATTTTTTTATCAGCTCAGTCCAGTTTCTATCATCTGGATTTTGGCAACGAGACAAAGTTTAGAGAGACGTTAGTGCATAAATCCAACTTTTTTCCATCCAATCATCCATCCATCCATCCATCCATCCATTCATTGACCAGCGACTTTTCTTCTTTCATAGGCATGGGACCCTTCTTCTCTTGTTACCTAACACCTTCCCTCCATTATTTACACCCCACCCTCTTCCTCCCTCCCTCCTTACATCCTTCATTCTCACACATCGACCCGACCTGTGACCTTTAAACCTTCACACATGCACGGTACAGTCATGTTGTGCCATTACTCTCTTCAGACTGTTGATGGACTTCTCCTTATGATCACCGCCTCACTTTCTCCACCTCTCCTCCTCTCACTGTCTTTCTCTCATCTCTCCTCATCCCATTTAGAGCAAAATCAATTCTTCTTGGCTCAGGGTCAAAGAGCTGCAGCAGTAAGCATCCCGCCTGTCTCGGTTGGTTAGTTTGGGCGGGGCAGGAGGTAGTCATCAAATCAAGAGCCTTGTGCATCACTGACAGGATGCAGGCTGAGTAATGAAATAAGATTCAATTTAAAAATGCCTTGTTTCGCTCTGCAGTCCTGCCACTCTGTGTTATGTGCTACTCAATAAAATTAAAGGCGTTATTTTTTTTTATTATTTCAAAAAATGTTGAACCATGCAACAGTGGAGGATTAATAATAAGCTGCTGATGGAAATGTTTTGGATTTTACACTTCTCATTCTCTGAGAAGATATTACCCGTCAGAGGGCACAGTTCTCGAAGACATCAGGTGACGTGAAGTGAAGGCCGGGATGTGCTTGAAATTAACTAGTGTGTGTGAAGTGTCATCGAGCTACATCTGAAGGCAAAGTGTTTAAAGACATAACAAATAGACACAGTTGAAGGTGTCATAAGGAGCAGGGAGATGCGATGAAACGTACAAATGCGAATAACGGCGCACACTATGGACAGTTTCTTCTCAATGGAGTTCATGGTGTTGCATTCAGTTGTACACACATAAAGTGACAGAAACAGTTATATGAGGATTTTTTAAAAAGAAATTAAAAAGGAGAAGTTCAAATCCATCCTAAATCATCACCTTGACACACCTGACCTATCGCTGAGTGAAATGGATGTGCTTGTTGGAGGGTGCTTTCTGAAAGTTGCGTGAATGCATGCAGAATGTCTCTCTCTGCACAAAGGCTTCTATCACTTTTTGGGTGTATAATGAATACAACAACATGAATGCCTAGGATTTAGGCGGATATACTGTAGTGGCACATGACACAATTTTATTTCGATGCGATCGAAGGGCCTGCGATCCATATGA